AAGTCGACGTTTTGGAAGCTGCCGGAACTGTGAGTGCTGTGGCTATAGCGACACAGGCTCGACATCGCCCCAGCCATTATATAAGCCGAACAAACCTGATGGGGCGTACCGTACACTTGGATCTTCCTCATGTTTTGTGGCACCAGCCCTCGCAACTTCGCACACGAAAGTTTTAGCTCATTGACGTTTTGCGCCGCCGGTCGCTGTCGCGTTGAATAAATAACTGGCGTGACGCTACATACACACGTACTATCGACTCTCTCTCGGCTACAATATAATCAACCGACGGAACGGCGTTCATCCGAACAAGGCCCCGACTCCCTTCCCTGCCATCTTTGACAGTCTAACCGTCTGCTAGATTGTCCCTGTTCAACCCCAACCTTACTAGCCATGACCAAGTATTATGCAAAATATGCCCGACTCCCACTTTCCTCTCCGTTATGTAGTTCCTATGACTGCTGTTGGAAATAGACAAGGCAGTCTGTTCTGGTTTGACAACCACCTGGCATGGTGGGTAATAACAAAACGGAACCAGAACCCACTCTATAATCAAGTGTCTTGTCTATTTTGTTGTTATTTTATTGATGATATATATAAACATTTAAAACAAAAACAGTGTTCCTTGTGACCTTCAAGGCCAGTTTTAAATATAAAAAATGAATCTGGAAAATGTATATCCTGTACTTGTAGAGTAAAATGGTTACTCGATTCGCTTAAAGGTATGTAGAACGTATAAGGAAGAGTTTCCGACCCTTTAAAGAATAAATATTATTGGGGTGGAATCCAGACGAGTCGATCTGGCCATGTCCGCCTGGCCGTCCATACGAACGTCGATATCTCTGAAACTATAAATGGTTCAATGTTGAGATTAATCATACAGATTCTATTGGCGCAGAGCAGCGCAAGTGTGTTTCAGAAGACACGCCCGCTCTAATGTTTATAAACCACCTAACGCTTACACTATAACCACTAGCTGTGACAACCAATTATTTTTTATGCCTACTTCTACAGATATTATTCAAAATTATACCTATTCAAATAAAAATTACGGCCGCCACGATGCACTTTTGACAATCTTCTGAAAGAAATCTCTTCTAGTGCGCTGCAAACTTCGGACTGAAATCAATATACCCTCTCTCTAATAAATTTTCTCTTTATTACGTGGAAGCTTGTTTAGCACAGTGAAGACAATAATTAGGAAATGTTCCTTATAGCTACAAATTTCAAAAAGGGTTTCTGTTAAAATTTCATTTGGGGTTCACCAGTGAACCTGACTGCACAGTCTTTCGAACTCAGCAAAGATAACACATTTTTAGCAGTCGTGGCTGGCATTGAGAATTGACAATTTCTTGCAATTTACCGCGCAAATCATCTACCGATTCATCGCTAATTCACCGCAATTTAATCACTCATTTTGGAAGATTGTGAAATTTCCATCGCTTTTTCATCGCTCTTTTAGTGGTTTTTCATTTTCATCAACCTTACAGTAATGAATCATCGACGTTATTTCATCATGAATTATTACTAAAAAATTTTTTTTTTTTTCAATTTGACTTGTTATATAAATTATGCATGGGATTTAAAAAAATATTAAAAAACACATTAAATTCCAAAAAAAATTTGGACAGGTCCGTTTCCGTTGCGTTGAAAATGTGACTACATGTTCAATTAACCTTAAATATATAAATATAGTGTATACAGAAATCTATAAAAAAATGTACCTTAAATGATAACAGTAAATGAATTAAATTCGAAAATAATTAAAAATTTAATTTAAAATAATTTACTGACCATTTTCTTCGAAACTAGCAGTCGGCTAGAAATGAATGAAAGATGAAATAGTGAACTTTTGAAATTCTTTTAATTTTTATTCGTTTTTTTCTTATTTTTCTTCCAAATGTCTATCGATATACCAAAACAAATTTTAACCTTCTCGCTTGCAATTCCACTAGCCGAGTAACGAGTATCTGATAGTAGATGAACTCGACTATAGCGTGCTCTCTTGTTATACCCGTTACTCGCAGAATAAATAGGTATACAAAATTCGTAGAAAAGTATGTAACAGGCGGAAGGAATATTTTTTTACTTTTTTATTAGTCTTGTACATTTCTATCGATTTGCCGATAAACTGCTTGCCACGCCTACTCTACCGCCGAAAACTTGTTTAATATTATTAGCAATTTTTACCGATATTCTGGAAAATTATGAAATTTCTTGTTCGCACTTTTACTAGCTGAGTAATGGGTATCTGATAGTCGGGGAACTCGACTATAGCATTCTATATTGTTTTAGTTTAATTATCATTACATCTTACATTAAGGCTACAACACACTTGCGCAGATTCGTATAAGAGAAGGAGGGGTCACCCAAAGGTGACCTTCGACAGAAGGTGATCCTGCCGTGGGTATCCGTATACATACTTGATATTTCGTAAAGTCATGACTAAATTGATGCAGGAATTAGGCAGCCGTAATATGGTAAATTTGTCTCCATATTGCTAACATATTCATTACGGTTAAAAAATGTTACATAGATATAATAGGTTTGACTAATGCCAAACAATACTTAACATTTTTAACATGTTATGTCTCAGCAGGTGGGACAAGGGGTTCGTATGGTTGCGTGCCATATAAATTTACAAGAAGTTTTTGTGGGTTAAGTTATGTGAATATCGCCCATGCATGTGTTCATTGTCTTGAGTGCACGGCAACGCACTATTTGTGGCTCTTTCTAAATAGGATTTTTTCATTAAGGACACTTTGTTTCGTGGTTCAATTAACACTTTAAAATCAATTTATGATATAACTTATTGTACGGTTGTACAAGAAACTGCTCTGCAAGCGAATGAAGCAGGAGTTGGAATAGGGCTCAAAGAGGAGCTTTAATCCATAGACGTGCTGTCAAGCCTTCTAGAACAGTTTGAACATTTCGTGGTGGCTATAGACTCTAGATCCGTTACCTTTTTTGGATGTTCTAAGCATAAAGTTAAAAGAGGAGCGAAGCGATATCACAAAGACATTCGTCGAAGCACAGAAGACAAATTCATTCACGAAACAGAAGAAACAAAAATACATCGTCTGTTTTAAGTATGGTGAAAAAGGCCACACAAAAGCACAATGCTCAAGTGTTTAAGATGATAAAGCGCACGGCGAACAACCAAAGTAGCCTGCTAAATGCTGGTGACCTTAGCAATTTAAGTTCTGCGTGGTGCTTAGACAGAGGCGCAACGAGCCATATGTGTTGTGAAAAAGAGATCTTTATAAAATTTGAGAAGCGCACTGAACAGATCGGACTGGGGTATGCTGGTTTACTGCAAGCAGAAAAAGAAAACGTCAAGATTCAAACAGGCTTGTGCACGCTCACGCTCAAAAATGTCCCGATCGTACCGAAGATAGCAGCCAAAGAATACCGTTTGTGCGATCGGCTCGCCAAGTGATACAGAAACGAGACGTTCTGTTCGACGAGCACCATTGTGATCGATCTAGATTGTGATTGATCTAGAGGAACCTGGTCAGCAGGACTAACCTTGTACTGCAGAAAGCAATTCTGATAAATCAATCGACGACAGTAGTTCTTGTGCGAGCTCTGACTACTGTACAGAAGGTAAAGAAAGTTGTGCGCTGAGGACCTGGTCGACTCAAGATTATCCGGACAGGAAACCCTGGTCGTCCAATTAAGCAGTTTCAGATAGCGTTCCGATTGCAGTCAATTGCAAAGAGGCTTTGAGCAGTGCAAAATGGCCATGGATCACACTTGGCAGATCACGGACAGCCGAAGAATCAGCGAGCCATTAGGTGCAAGAGGGGTTTCAATTTAGAGCCGCGACTGGGGGCAAAGGGGTGCTCCCAGCAGTAGCTGGACACCTTTTTTGGATAAAACTAGCCGCGGAACTTAGATTACATCTTCAGCAAATGGATGTATGCACCACGTACCTCAATAGCAATCCAAGCAAGACCGTTTACATGAGACAGCCGGAAGGATACCTAACTGCAAAGAATCCAGCAAGATATTGTTACTCAAGAAAGCAATGTACGGTTTGAAGCAGTCCGGAAGGGCCTGGATCTGAAGGATTTGGGTTTTATTGCCATGTTTACACAAATACGCTTGCATATATTGACGATATTCTAAAAGCCTGCCAAACTCTAAAAATGATATCGTAAGGAACGATTGTAAAAGATGGACAAGTTTTGTTAAAGTACAAATGCTTGAATGAAATGTTGGCAGATATCTTGGCCGAGAACATCGCAAAGAAGAATAATGAAGGTTTTATAAAAATGTTAAGCTTTCTTTTAAAAATATTTGTATACATGTAAGCATTTGTATAATGCATCCAGGAAGGGTGTTGAAAATATTTCTATACTCTAGGAACAATATAAGTTACAACTGTCCTGAGGGTATATATGTTCACTAATAAAATTCCGCAGCGACCCACTGTGTAATACTTTTCTGTCCGGTAATTCTGCCAATCAATACGTGGTGCGTGTTCCAGGTTTAGCGTGGCTTCGATAGAAAACCCAGGAAAGCCAATGGCAGGAGACCGAAATGCAAATTGTTAACGTGACTAACGGAAACGCCACATTCGAAAGAATGTTCGAAATAAATTTATATCAATGTGAGGTCTTGCTGAAGAGCTTGAAAAGTGAGGCATACTTTTATCGCGATATTAAGGTCAAGTCGGCACTGTGACACGAACTGGTTATCTAGTTGGTAAGAATAAATATGGTTAGGTGGAAATATTTTTGAAGAGCTTTCATTTATATTGGACCTGTTACCGATTTACTTAGTCTCAACGAAAGTCGCTCGTATTACCAGAATCGTAGAAATGTTAATTGCTTAGCGAGTTTTCAAATATGGCTAATTTATTTATCTAAATATAATATTTAAGGATGGCGTGGTCCATCATCCGTTTGAGACCTACAGTAATTCAGGTTGCATTCAAATATTCACTTTTCTATAGGCTAATTACTAATCTCCCATTTCCCCCATCTGCTCCTCTTCAGACCACCGTTTGCCTATTGGATATACAGGCCGCCTGGGCAAAGAAGCTAAATGCGAGCCAAGCTTTTGACAACACGTGGAACACTGCATCCGATTTGGAAAATGAATTGGAAGTAAGTAGTATTGGCTCTTTATTTGACACTGCACAGCAGAGTACTTGACACAGCGAGTAATACACAAATGCAACTGCTAATTTGCAGCAACAAAAGCGATCAAAGGGGCAGAGTGCAATAGGAGCAATAGGTGCAAGCGGTGCACCTGGCCAGTGGTCGTCCTGGTCAGACTGGTCAACCTGTTCGCGCACCTGCGACGGAGGCATCATGCATCAAATGCGTAGGTGCGGCAGTCCTGGCAGTTGCCGCGGGGAGAGCACTCGCTACCGCATTTGCAACATGCAGCCTTGTCCGGAGCAGCAGGACTTCCGCTCCAGCCAATGCACCGCATACAACGATGTTCCCTACGACGGCACTTTGTACAAGTGGACTCCGCATTATGATTACGTCGAGCCTTGTGCGCTTACATGCAGGTGAGTCTGCAGTCAGCTTAATAAGAATTAAATGTTTTGCCCATTCAGCCCAAGTTTCCACTATTTCACACAGAATCGGTATAAAATAATTAGTTTAAGCCATATAATTATGACTGGATACTGGTATGTAAGTTATGGCTGAGCTATACTGATTTATCCATATGGATTTTTACTAAGTCTAGGCATACACTTTTTCGGGCGTAATAAAACATTTCCTAAGTGTATGCAACCGGGTTGAGTTTCCTAGAAACTCGCCTTAAGGTTGGAGAGTTTGCCATTTAGAAGATTGGGAAAATCAACCAAACTTGGGAATTGTTTCTTTATAGCCACAAAGTATATTCAGTTGTATGCTTTTTTTGCTGGCCTGACGGGATTTCATTTGGCTGTGCGCTAAAAATTACTACTTTATTTTATACCATTATTAATGGTGTACATGCCAGAAACTAATAGAGAGTAAGTAGCAATTTCAAAAATTACAATTAACTCTATTCAAAATTTTGACGAAAATAATTTAAATTGTTTAGACCTTGTCCACGTTTATTTCTATGATTACTATTAGTTATTCATCATTCCTCGCTTGCATCCAACGACTCAGAGCGTCAGAAGCCGCCATTTCCATCCAATTTGTGAATAACCATTTGTGAATAATATTTTCCATCCGCAGAGGACATCCGGCGCATCTCATCGAAGACATTTCGCGGGAGAATGGAGGCGGGAATGCCGAGGAGGCGGAACACTACGACGAGCAGAGCGTCATTGTGCAATTGTCGGCGAGGGTGCAAGATGGGACCCGTTGTCGTTCCGGCAGCTTGGATATGTGTATCCAAGGAAAGTGTCAGGTGAGACATATGTGGGCACAATTTATCGAAAAAAGTCGACAAAAGTCGGGTCGTCGAGCCCTTCCTTCCACTCCAAAAACCATCCGCGTGCTAAATTATATACAAATGTTGGTGTTGGAGAAGGTGGTCCTGAAGGCTTGGGCATTGGCGAAGCCCCGTAGAGGCTACTTACTCTTGGAAGCCCGTTGGGAAGACCGCTTGCGTATGTACGAGCATGCATATTGCATAACACAAGCACCTTTGTTTCATTATGCTCCGTCGTATTCATAAATTATCATCATAAGGACGGCAACCGAGAAGAGTGGGTAGGGCACTGCTTGTTTGGCTCAGTTGCCAATGCTACTGCCATCAAATTTCAGCTATTGAAATGCCAATAAGTCGTGCCCCAGGACTACGCTGAGGTACGGGGGACTACGATATGTTTGCATGATCGCCGAGCATAACATATACTTTGTTAAGAGTGCAAAACGCTAGGATTCTGAATACATTTTCATAACGCAAGGCGTATAGCAATCGGAGGCAATTCAACGAACACTTTCAAAACCAGATTATTATTTTGAATGTTCGGTTTTTAAGACTTAGGAAGAAATATTTATCAATAATTGTTTAGCTAAGTGCCGGTATCTAAATTTTGGTTTGCCAAAATGAGTTTTCATCTTAGGCTACTATTCACCTCCCATATTTCTAACAAGGAGTCGTGGAAACCCTCGTCAGCCTGGAGCACCAGCGATGGGTGTCACGGCTTGGCAGGATTACAGCTATAAATATGTTATTCGAAGTTGGCGACAGGCAACACCGACAACGAAACTTGGCTGTTTGAGTTTCGTCTTGGTTTCAGTTCCAGTTGGTATACATATAAACTTGTGTGCATCTTGTCCAAGCATCAGTCCAATGAGGCAGCAACTGGCACAGGCATTCTATATGTGGATATATACATGTATTCATGTATAAATATGAAAATAATTGGGGCTTCAGGCCAATTAGATGAGCTTAGTCGTGCACTTACACACAACTAGTTATTTAAATGTCAAGTTAAAAAAATGAAAAAGTGGGCGATTTTCCCTACAAGCGGTGCATTGATTTCCATTTTTTAGTAACGACTGCCGCAAATTTGGTGTGTTACGCCTTTGATGCCGCTAAGCGTTGATTTATACTTGCATACATGTTGCATTTGTGCTTATCGTGTTCTAACGCCTGCTGTTTGGCATCTCTTTTTAGCGTGTTGGCTGCGACTTAAAAATCGGATCTACAAAAAAAATAGACGGCTGCGGAGTGTGCGGCGGCGATGGAAACTCCTGCTCCCAACCGCTCTTCAACTGGGAGATGGCACCGATGTCGCAGTGCTCTGTCACCTGCGGTAGTGGTATGTTCAGTGCTAGGGTTTCAGCCGCTAGAAAAATAGTTTTCAAATTTTAAAATACTTTTAATTTAGATGGTAGAATAAGTGAAAACAAGAGAGAATGCTATAGTCGAGTTCCCCGACTATTATATACCCGATACTCAGCTAGTGGAAGTGTGAATGAGAAATCTCATCAATTTCTGGAATATCGGTACAAATAGCGAAAAATAATAAAAAAAACTTAAAAGTAATCAAACATTTTTTCAAAAGTGTGGGTGTGCAAAACGATTTTTTGCAATGCGATACAAATTTAAAAGACTAATAGAAAATTAAAAATAATAAAAAATATTTTTCAAAAGTGTGGGCGTGGCAGCTTTGAGCGGTTTGTGGGCGGTTGAGTGAGCGTAGAAATTTGTAAGACTAATCAAAAAATAAAAAAAATATCAAAACACTATTCAAAAATGTGGCCGTGGCAGTTTTGGCCAGTTTGTGGGTGTTAGCTTGGGCGTGGCAACAAACTGCGTCTATGTCTCTAGAATCTGCATGCATCAGTTCCTGAGATCTCGACGTTCATACGGACAGACCGACGGACAAATGGGCATGGCCAGATCGACTCGACTTTTGTTTCTGATCAAGAATATATAATATATACTTTATATGGTCGGAATCGCTTCTTTCTACCTGTTACATACTTTTGAACGAATCTAGTATACTCTTTTACTCTACGAGTAACGGGTATAATAAATATGTTCGCTGTAAGCTAGCCCAAAAAGCATGGTCCGTGCCGATAACTGTCACGCCCACACTTTTGAAAAATGTTGTGATATTATTTTACTTTTTATATATGTATCTTGTAAATTTCTTTAGGTTTGCCAAAAAACTTTTTGGCACGCCCACTCTAACGCCCACAACGCTCACCCCCTCATTATTATTTTATTATTATTTTTCCCCCAATTTCTACCGATATTCCAGAAAATTTTTTCTTTCTTGCTTTATTTCTTCTATCGCTATGCGGTTAACTAACTCCAGTGACCTAGTTAATAATGATTCATCCCGGGTGCAATTACATTTCGACGTGTCTTAGTCTATTTTAGTTTTTAGGTGGCACTTAAATGTCAATTGGAGGTGAGTCTTTAGAGGATGTCCAGCGCATGGTCCACCCTTCAAAAAAGAGTCACAGTGTAGTTAAGCTCATGCCAAAAGGGAGGAGTTCGTAAGGACATCGAAATGCTTTTACTCATGTTTGGTGCTGTGTGCTTCCTCTAGGGGCGAATAGTTGTGGACATTTCATAAAATCAATTGTGCTCAATTATCCATTTTTGTTTGGTTGTATTGCCGTTAGACAACTAACAACTAATAACTATATAAATAATTATATTCGTGACAAGTGTCCAAATGTCTGTAAGACTTCACGGAATTCTTTCCGAAGTATTTTACTGTTCCTGCAGCTAACTCACTGCTAACTCCCGATTTTTATCATTTAAGAGTGAAAAACTGAAGGTATGAAGGAATTAAATCAGTAGTGGCATAAGTTATAGAAAGACGCAGAAGTTTAATACGCCGATGGAGTATTAGTACCAAAATCCGATCAAGGACATCAAAAAATATTCAAGGGATAGACGCCTTAACGTTTATTTTCGAAGATAACGAGATTACTTAGCCCATGAGCAAAGGTTTGTTTATCGTATGTTTCCGCAAAAGAATCAAATGCTAATATTTTCTTATGCATTTACAACTTTATGAACTATTTAGAAGTTGCACTAAATACGCGTAAGACTATTTTACATTATTACTATTTTTACATTTTACTAAGCGAACGTTATAGAACGTTAAAGAAAAATAAAGAATGCGAGATCCAATTTTGCTTTTAATTAAACTTTTTTCTTGTTTCTCTTCTCATCTTTTCTCTTCCACGGTTCTTCGTTCTTCCTCTGCCTCAGGTTACAAAATGTCCCGTCCTTTATGCAGGAATCGTCTAACCAACGCCGATGTCGATGATACGCTCTGCAGTCTTACTAATCGCCCGGAGGCGTCGGTGGAGCAATGTAATACACACAGTTGTCCTCCTCGGTAAGTACTTTTACCTGCGGAGCTTGTCTTTTAGCCAGCATATTAGGCCCTACCGACACATTCCCAGGCCATTAAGTTTCCTTAGCTACACTTGACACGCGCATTTCTTACAATGAGCTAGCTACATATTGTAAAATATCACTTAAAAGAATACACTATCTTAAATATACTTTTTCTATTAAAGCGTGGCGAATAAGTACATTTTAATCATTATCTTAGTTGAATATATAATTTTTTTTGTCGTAAAAGTTAAAATCAGAACATTTTTATGTTTAAGTTTTACGCTTTACTCGTATATTAAAAGGGTATACTATAACTGGTAGAAAAAAGCGTTTCCGACCTAAAGAAGTATATATATTCTTGATCACGATCAATATCCAAGTCGATCTGGCTATGTTCGTCTGTCTGCCCATCCATATAACGTCGAGGTCTCTGGAACTATTAATGTAACGCGTATCTAATAGTCGGGGAACGTAGACGTAGACACTTGACGTATGTACCTACTTTATGAGGCCGAAATTTCTAACTCAAATAATAATAAATTCTTCAAGGATAAAATAATGGCATTTAGAACAGTTTTGGGTAAAAGCTTTGAAGTTCAAAAAATTTGAATGTAAACCTAACACAATTTTGTTTAGTTTTTAGAGATCTTTTGTTCAAAAGCTAATCGTGAGACTTGTGTAGCTTGACCTGTGTGCACATAAGTAGCTGAAATTTGCGGGTACGGGTAACTGCTTTATGAGAGTGGGAAGGTGCATACTCCCCATCTGAAACTCACCCTACTCTCATGTCCTTCTGCATGACTGCTTGTGCGCAGAGCCGGGCTCCTACCCTCAGGTCCCTTTCCACGATTGCTAAAGATATTATAAAGATATTCAAAATACAAGAATTATTCTCCTGTTCTCATGAAATACGTTTTATAGTGCTGGAACCACCTTGATTGTATTAAAATAAACACATTTTATTCCTATGACCGGATTAGCTACAAAAATATAGGTTACCCACTTTATAGTGATATTCCCTCCTTTCTAAGTGACTTAAGCTACGAAAGCGAATGTCATTGGAAAGGTATTTTCAAATGCCAGGCATGGTTCCTTGACATATTTGTAATGCATTTAGTTCTTTGACATAAAAAATATGTTTCAGTTCTTTAATATCTTCTGGTCATGGCATAAGGGTATACTAATATCAGCACTAACAAATCCATTGTCCTTCCGGCAATAGGTGTTTGTGTTTAATTTAAAAGGCGGAAACTAATAAAAATGCCCACAAATGGTCAAATTCTAAGTTAATATATTATGAACTTTAGTTTTCGGTGAGGGTAGGGGAAAAATAGAGATACAAATAGAATCCTTTTAAATGCCACTGCCAACAGCCAATACAACCACAATTTAAACCACTGTAAATTCGCAGGTGGATAGCAGACGATTGGAGCACTTGCAGCCGCCTCTGTGGTCACGGCTACCGTGAGAGGATGGTGGTCTGTGCCGAGGAGTCGAACGCCATCAAGACGAGGGTGCGTATTAGGAATAGCTTCCATTAAGGCCGTGTGGTATTGACCAAAATGCGATGATTTGGCATACGGCAATGGGGGGATCATCAACACCTTATTGCCTTGTTTTTTTTACACGAGCCTCTCACTCTTCCAACAGGTGGCCGATATCATGTGCCGTACACCCAAGCCACCAACACAAGAGACCTGCATTATCGAGGAGTGCCCGCACTGGGAGGTCGAGGACTGGACCGGAGTAAGTACCTCAACCACCAACCAAGTTATGTAACAACCTTGTAATGCCTTGAGCGCTGCAGAAGAAACTGTAGGAGCAAAACCCAGGTGCAGGACCGGAACATTACACTTTGCACTTTGACGATATCTAAGGCTTTTAAGTATCGAATTGTTGGTCGTCAGTCCTGAAATCGAAATAACAGTACATGGCAGAATTGGCATACAAAGATCTATTATTGTACATATCGCAAATGTTTCTAGGATTTCTTTCTGTAAGCTAGAAAGACTCTAACTAATTTTTCTGAAATTAAAATAAACAAATAAATCTTTCAATCAATTTGATTGATTCTAAATTGTTCAGCCTTCCAGGACCAGGACAGAAAACTCATTTATTGCCAGCTCTGCCATAATTACAAAATTATAAATAACTAAATAAATTTTAATATTCCTAGAGTATTTGTAATTTGAGTAAGCTCTTCTTACGTTCTATGCTTTTTGATTCGTAATAACCTACTAGACACTGGGCAGACACTGGCACTGAGTATGAAACTGCGGCGTTACGTTACTCACGTTACGTGATATTACGTCACCTCACGTGCCCCTCTCTCCTTTCGCCATGAATTTCCACTGTGGCTTCTGTTTATTTAAGCTCCCGTTTTATTAGGATCCACGACCCACGGCCACTTGTACGTAGGGGGACTTATGAGAACCGCTTGGAGGTGTCAAGTTGCTGAACGCTTTGTAAAAGAATATTCGAGGACTTGTAACTTGGTTTTGGATATTATTAGCTACTGTTAGATTTCCAAAATCAATTTGGATATCACTTGGCAATTATCGAAAAAAAATTGGCAATTATCGATAAAAATAACAGCAAGAACAAGTTATCGTTTATTCCCCTTGATAAAATATACGCCGCAAAATTAACAACTATTAAAATGGGCAACGAAGAGGGAATGAAATGGGATTTAAAACAATGAAGCTGGGGCTTCATACAAACTTGCATTTGTATGCTGGAAGCGTGCACGTGGGACTGCGATGGGGTTGAACGTGTGTGTGTGAAGGGGAATGGAAGGGGGTTAGAGGACTTTTGTTGGATTTGCCATTTTGAGAGCCGCATCACTGGAAACGTTTGCTAAGAAGCAGCGCATTTTGTCATGTTACGGCCCATCCATTGTGCAAACAAATGCCTTTTTAAGGTGGCGGAAAGAGGCGTATTAAAATAATTTATAATGCTCACGGAAGCTATACCCCACTCTTCTAACCCACAGTGCTCGGTTTCCTGCGGACAGGGTATACAAATGCGAGGCGTTGAGTGCAAATCGACAGACGGCAGCCTGAGTGCCAAGTGTGATCCACTTACAAAGCCGGGCAGCATGCAGCAGTGCTCCACCGGAATTCATTGCGGCGGATCGGAAAACCAAGTAGGTGGCACCATCATTGTGGGTAGCAGTCGCTTGACAAACGAAGTAAGTCCGTCAGAAAGCTTAGCGCCTCTTCCCTTCAATTGGATACTCAAACTTTTATCCCAGCGATCGGAGCGACAGTTGGACAGCTCGGAAGTTGATGACGACAACAAGGACGATGATGACGAGGGCGATGAAATCGAGGACCTGGAATCGGGACAGGATACGGATGATGGTGAAGGCTTGTCCTACGCTGACCAACCATTGCGATACGCTCATCGCACACAGAGTCGACTGAATCAGGAAGCCCCTGATGAGCCGCGCACCATGCATCTAATGAACGGAAACTCAAACAATAATTTCAATCGGGGAGGCGACGAATCCGAGGGACCCTCATTAGATCCCACGTGAGTAGGGGGCGATTTATTATGTTAAGGTTGCAAGTTATTTTTAAAACCAAGATGTTTTGCAATTTTATAGTAAAACAAGAGAAACCCCTATAGTCGATTTCTTTGACTATCAGATACACGATACTCAGCTAGTAGAAGTGCTCGGGCGCATTTTCAGCATTTTGTTGGCATAGCGTTGGAAATTTTCAGAAGAAATAGTTAAACCAAAATATGTATTTAAAAGCATTATTCAATAGGGGGATATTGGAAAAATGTTGCTTCAACTTGCCGAAGTTAGATTCTTCTAATACGCAAACAAAACAAAACAAAATGAAGTAGAATGCTATAGTCGAGTTCCCCGACTATCAGATACCCGCTATTTAGCTGGTGGAAGTGCGAACGAGAAATTTAATAATTTTCTGGAATACCGGTACTAATGCAAACAAAATTAAAAAATGAAAAAAAAGTGTGGGCGTGGCAAAACGATTTTTGGCAAATCGATAAAAATTTACACAACTAATAAAAAAATGAAGAAATATTAAAACATTTTTCAAAAGTGTGGGCGTGGCAGTTTTGGGCGTGGCCGTTCTGGGCTGCGTCTATGTCTCTGGAAGCTGCAGGCTTAATCTCAACAGTCTAGCTTTTGTAAACCCTTAGATCGAGGCGTTCATACGGACATGGCCAGATCGACTCGGCTATTGATCCTGATCAAGAATATATACATATACTTTACATGGTCGGAGACGCTTCATCTGCCTATTATATATGTTTCAACGAATATAATATACCCTTTTACTTCACATGAGTAACCGGAACAAAAAAGGCTCTGGCTCGCGGTGTATCTGGTATAGTTCCTCCAAATTAGTGTAGCTTGTCGTATACTTTTATAATTATTGTTCATTCTTAACTGATGGCACGCCTTGCGACATGACACACTTTGATTCTTGGGGCTTTACATTTAACCATTATATCTTGAATGCAACCATCTCTCCTGTCTTATCCCGCCCGAAGCCATCTTGACACATTTCAACTGTAGCGAGTGCTTTGCCGTCCACGCGTCTTTCTCCTCCAGCACCGCCCACTTCGCTGCTACTCGACGTAGAGCAATTGGCCAACACGGCAAGAAACATAGATGTATCCATGACGCATCAATATGTCCTTGAGCATTATCGACACCTAAAATTAAGTCAGTTTCTACATCCTTAGCCAGTAGCTAAAAGAGTGTTGACATAGAATTCGAGTAGATTGTATGTTCAATGAGTGCGCCTAATGACAATTAAAGTGCCGCATTAACGTGCTTTTTCATTTTATTGGAAAACGATACAAGTTCCGGCGGTAAGCCTTTGCAGACATATTAAATTGGAGACTCGCCTCAACAGAAAAGTACCTCTATAGTATACATGTGTATTTACCTTTAATTATCTAGCAAATCAAAGGAAATCATTAGTATTAAATGGTCAACGTAAAGGGTTTTTATCCGATAAATGCCGCTTGCAGTGTACTTAAGACAAGTAAAAATTACAGCTCTTATTGAAAATCCCTGTTACAAAATGAACAAAATATTAAACAAAATTTTCAAAAGTGTGGGCGTTTGGGATGAGGCCAAAGTGTACTTGGTATACCGATAGAAATTGTCAAAACAAATAATATAACGAAAAAATATTAATACAGTTTTGAGCGGTTTGAGGGCGTTGGAGTGGGTAAGGCAAAAAGTTGTTGGGCAAATCAATAGAATTTACAAGATTAATAAAAAATATCAAAACATGTTCCAAATGTGTGGGCGTGGCAGCTTAGTGCGGTTTGTGGGCGTTTGAGTGGACGTTAAAGAATTTGGAAACAAACTTGCGCTGTATCTTTGTCTGTGGAATCAGCTTAATTTCAACTTGTAAGCTTTTATAGTTGTCAGATAGACATGTCCAGATCTACTTGGCTAGTGTTCCTGATCAAAACATGTATCTATACATGTATTCATATAAATAGACTTTTATAATTTAGAGGGTTGGAAAAGCTTTTAATTAATTTATTAATTTTTCTTCGTTTAATTGATTTAATATAGTAATCTCATATAATACCCTTAAGAACGACGTAACACAATGGACCGTTGACCAAAGAACAACAAAAATACATTGCACTTATAGTTATCCCAAATTCCTTTCGATGGCTTCTTTGTGCGATACCCCCTTAGCTAAAACTATTCGAGCCTTGCGCCGCCAAAAAGTCGCGACATTCTGCCGCCATCAAAACCTTGGCCTCTGCTGCCGGTCTTGTAAAAATAAAGGCCGTAAAAAGATTGGAGATGGCACCACGCCCAGTCAGCGAAGCAAAGGAAAAGTAGGATACAAGCAAACAATATCCTATCCAATAGCCTACGCGACGCGACGATTATGAAAACAACAGCACTGTGGAAAACTAAAAAATAAAGATCTGAAAGTAAATGTAATGTTATGATGTAGGCGAGTAACACTCCTTTTCATTAAATGATATGAACAAAGTAATAAATTAATATTTTATTGACTATCACAGTCAATTATGCCAAAAATACCGTAAGTGTAAATGGCGCTAGGAATTGAGTAAAAACGAGTGATAGTCTAGGGAAGTCCGTCTGTCCGTCCATATGTCCGTATGAACGCTTAAAAAGTGTTGGGCGGTATGTGGGCGCTAGAGTGGGCGTGTCAAAACGTAGCTTTTGTAGTTCCTGCGATCGAGGCGTTCATACGGACAGACAAATGGACGAATGGACCAGATCGCCTCAGCTATTGATCCTGATCAAGAATATACATATGTACTTCATATGGTTGGAAACTCTTCCTGTCCATATGTCTGTCCGTCGGTCTGTCCGACTCTCTGTCCGTCCGTATAAACGTCTCTATCTCAGGAACTATAGTCTTGCCAATATCTATCGATTTACTAAAAAAAAATGTGAAATTTCTCGCTCGCAATCCCACTAGCTGATTGACAGGTATTTGATAGTAGAAAGACCGACTATATATTTTAAATGCGCTGAAGGCACTGAAAAATTCATATATTTATGTATATATATATATGAAACTATGTAAATGTGCATACCTGAGGACGTACATATACATATATATATATTTATATATTTATATTTATTTATTTATTTGTTAGACGAACAACGGGTATCTAATTTTTCCCAGTGGCATACATTTGATGTGATGTGAAAATAACTAATATATTTTCGGGTTTTATAATACATAGCTACATCAAGGATAATGAGTGGTCCCCATGTAGCGTTACCTGTGGGGAAGGAATCCGCCGGCGCACCTACAACTGCAAGATTTTCCTCGAGTACTCTAGAACGGTGGCCACCGTTAATGATTCGTTGTGCGAGGGAAAAAAACCACATGACGAAGTAGAGCGATGTGTGGAAGATCCGTGCATACTGCCCTCCCACGGCTTCGACGACCAGTTCCCCCGTGATTCCATTAAAGTGGGTGTGTCGGAGCCGGGTAAAACATACGTCTGGCGGGAACAGGGATACACTTCCTGCAGTGCCTCCTGCCTCGGAGGTGTCGAGGAGCTGATCATCAACTGCGTTAGGGAAGATAATGGTAGGGTGGTGTCGCCCTTCCTCTGTTCCCCGGAAACCAAGCCGGAGGCCAGGGTTCGCACATGCAACGACCGTCCCTGCCCTCCCAGATGGAACTACTCAGACTACACGCCCTGCTCCAAGAGCTGTGGCATTGGCATCAAGACCCGCGAGGTGCAGTGCATCCACGAGGTTACGCGTGGAGGGGACAACACAATGGTGGTGCCGAACAGTATGTGCCCACAGCCACCACCAGCAGATCGGCAGTACTGCAACGTTCTCGATTGCCCCGTACGTTGGGAAGTAGGTGAGTGGAGCAAATGCTCTCATACCTGTGGCTATGGGTTTAAGGATCGGAAGGTCGAGTGCAAACAGATAATGGCACAGGAGCACAAGATCGAACGACCCGAATCGATGTGCCCGAGTGCTAAGCCGGCGGACAAAAAGCCCTGCAATGTGAAACCCTGCCCGCCGGAAGATCCAAAGCCAGTCATCCAGATCAACAACTCAACACACATTCAGCATGACCCCAAGAAGACCAAGATCACCCTTAAAGTGGGCGGCGCTGGCGTTGTTTTCTTCGGCACTCAGGTGAAGATCAAGTGTCCCGTAAAGCGGTACAATCGCACCAAGATCAAGTGGAGCAAGGATCACAAGCCGCTGCAGCGTTCACGAAAGTACAAAGTGTCGAAGAAGGGCGCCCTACGAATACTTGATATTACGTTCCGTGATGCCGGAGTCTACTCCTGCCACGCCGGTCTCAGTTCCGCGGAAATAAGCATCGAGGTGAAGGCCAAGCCAGGACAGCAGGTTGAGGAGCTCGAGCAGCAGGAAACTGGTTGGTAATCTGTGTTGGGTCTCGTCTGCTTTTTAGTTTATGTAACGCGTTTATATCTCTCCCGACATTTTCAGAACGATTGGTGCGTGAGAAAAGTGGCACAGAGGCTCTCACCTCGGCGGATATGAAGAAATCTGGTGGAACAGGGACTTCCGCTGCTGTCGGAACTATCAGCTACGTTAATGGGTAAGCAAGCGATGTCATGCCACAATTACTCGTAGAATTACTCGTAGAATAAAAGGGTATACTATATTCGTTGCAAACTATGTAACAGGTAGAAGGAAGCGCTTGCCACCGTAGAAATCTTGTTCTTGATCAGGATCATATGACGAGCCAATCTGTCTATGTCCGTCTGTCCGTCTGTCCGTCTATATGAACGTCGAGATCTCAGGAACTATAAACTCTAGAAAGTTGACAATACCCCCAAAACTGATATTTTTTCATTTTTGTATATGTATTGTAAATTTCTTTCGATTTGCGGAAAAAAAAATTGTCACAGCCACTTCATCGGCTACAAGCCGGCCAAAAGTGGCACTGGCACTGGCACAGACGTTTTCCGTCTGTCCGTATGAACGCCTCGATCTCAAGAACTACGTCTATGCGCTGCGTCTATGTCTCAGGAAGATGCATGCTTAATCTCAACATTCTAGCTTTTGTAGTTCCTGAGATCGAGGCGTTCATACGGACAGACGGACGCACAGACGGACGGTCAGACGGACAAGGCCAGATCGACTCGGCTATTGATCCTGATGAAGAATATATATACTTTATATGATCGGATACGTGTCCTTCTGCCTGTTACATACTTTTCAACCAATCTAGTATACCCTTTTGCTGTACGAGTAACGGGTATAACAATTTGGATGCACATTCATACTGGCCAACACAAAGCAGCTTTGTGGGTTGCGCACGGCAATCTGCATAAGACATCTTCCACGTTCAAGACCACGCTGTGAGCCTCGTCTAGCAGTCGACATTTAATGCTGCTTTATTCCACACTTTTCTAGGACGACGCAACAGCATGGCTCACGCCGCAGGCAGCAGCAGTCGGAGCGATTACAGAACGGGAGGGAACGGAACCGGAGACCCAAGTCGGATGGAGTTCAGCATGCGGATAGCAGCATCATGGAAGACGATGTGAGTATCGGAAGCGTTTTGATTGTCCCAATCGATCAAAGTAATTGCCGGGCTTACGTTTTAAATATGTTTCGGAAACGGAATGGAACGTTGCCCCTCGACGTTTAAACACTTTCGGTGTTTATCGGCTTTGTGGCTTTAGACGCTTTCTTTTGTCACGTGTCCACATCTACATATGTAATTTAAAAATGTTCCCCATATCAACGGGAAAAGCAATATATTTTGCCAACTGTTGGTTGTATCGGTTGTCTCTGTCTCGTTTGTATTGTTCCCTGCTCTTTCTCATCTGTCTATATAAAGATACATAAAACGTATGCACAGCTACGCCGAGACAGAGAATGCGTAAACTTAACATATGTATGGCTAGAAAACAACAAATGCTGAGTTATTGATTGGCCAAGCTTTTTTGCTGTGTTCCTGATTAGGGAATAAAGCAAAAAGTGTCAGAATCTTTATTCGGCTGCTTTGCCAACTCCACCGAATCGATGTTTGTCCGCAGCGTTGGACTTTCATTCTACTTCGTATATTGTCGTACAAATATAAAAGTTATTTATGCAGACGTATGTATAATACATTTGTTTCCAAACTTAATGCATTCGCTTTCAGGTTGAACCGATTTAAATGCTCCACAGTACTCCCCTGTTGCCATTAACATACCTGACTTCATCTCGCCCAGCACAGTCGCCCATTATATATTACGCTCATATTCATATCCGCATATCTTTAACCTTAGTTCGAAACATATTGCTAATAAATAACGCCACACTTAATAACTATTCTCGCCATATTTCTTTCTTAACCCAACCCTATCCCCGTCCAATACATATGTATCTACCTGTGAGGGCGTGCATCTGCAGCTCTCGCAATTAGTGCAATCCGAGGACAGAATACCACAGCCGGCAAGCGCCAGTAGCGGCGGTAGTCGCACCAGGACTCTGCTGGCTATGCCATATTTCCAGGCTCTGCTAAGCAATCTCCAGGTGAGACGCATCTTTTTTGCATCCCTAGACTCGCCTGATTCGATTACTTTGGCATCCGGCAGCACTCGGTGCGCTCTATTCCTTTTTGTTTGACTTCAAGGTCACGTTCCGGTGGCAACTCTTTTTATTTAGGGTCATGATTTAGGGTCGTCCTGTGGATGCTTTCGGTGCATTTTGGTTTGTTTGCTTTAATTTTTATTAATTCGGCGAAAGGAGCACAAACGTTCTTGGCACTTGGCCCTCCACAGACTTTGACTAAACTTTGCAAACTTATAATTAAATTCAATATAACTTTAGTTTCTAAAACTGTATACAAATTTAAAAATTCGATCACATCAAATTATAATACACCCTTTAATTCACAAAGTTGTACATTAGTTAAACAACGCTCTTTTGAACGTCTATGTATAAATTCAACGCGAACTTCCTAAATGGAATATAATTTCCTAAATATAAATTATCGGATGCTGGAAGTTAAATATTTTTATTAGTCTTGACGTACAAAATCTAATTTCGTAATTCTTTTAAATAATATATAAGTATACAAAGCAAAATAATACAGTTATCTTAAACGAAATGAATTTTCAATTTTTTTAATGAATATTATTGTTGAAGCCTAGTTTTCTTTTTGAATTTTTATTTCGGCAGAAGTCACGACTTTCTAAGCAAAAAGTAAAATGTTGTATGAATATAAAATCGAACGTTCAGCTTAAAGATCATTTTATTGCAATTGAGACGAAAAAGATTTAATTTTTAGCGGGTACAAGATTAATACCCCCAAATACGAGAAAATTAAATTATTAAACCCCAAATGATTTTTAATATATATAGTACACATTAATTTTGTCAAAGGCTTTGCATGCTTCAAATTATTTTTACGATTTATTGCATGTTTTTTTTTAGTGATGTTTATATGTTTCCCACTCTCAACAATAACTTACCAACTTTGTCTTTCTATTTTAAAAATCGTAACATAAATATATTTTCTTACTGTTCGGTTTATTCGGGGCCCTGTGAAAAATATTGTACAACACATAAAACATCTAAAAATAACACTACGGGAACCATTTTCGAATATACCGTAAACAAAACAAAAAAAGTAGGTAAACTTTATACAATTACCATTATAATGCTTGATTCCACTCGACAGATATTTTTACTCCACTCCCAGCGCGTAAACAGTTTATCTAAAACTTTAATATTTTCTCAGTCTTGAGCAATGAAATTGGTACCAACTTATTTTAATTACGGATTTCTCCTCACGGATTCTCACCTTTTATCTGCAAATTTTTTCGCGAGAACTTTTTGCGCGCCTTCCATTTAAGACATGTCTAGCTTTTGTTTATATGTATCTAGTACCCTGAAAAATTAGAAAAACCAACATATTATCGACAACAAATTCTTTTCTAAGTTAATCGCGATTTATTTATCAAATATATTTTATATATTCCCCTCTTACTCTTTTATTATTATTTATAATTAATTCCAGTACGCAATTCAGTAATTAATAATTGTAAAATTTGTAAACAAGGAAGAATGCTATATTCGGGTACCCGACTATCAGTTACCCGTTACTCAGCTACTGAAAGTGCAAACGAGAAATTTCAATATTATCTGGAATATCTGTGGTAATTGGGAAAAAAAAGAATAAAATTAATTTGTAAAAATTAATGTGGGCGGGACAGTTTTGGTCAGCTTGTGGGCGTTCGAGTGGGCGTGGCAAATAGTTTTTCGGCAAATCGATAGAAATTTACAAACTTACAAAACTTACGAACCTTGTTCGTTTTCTTTCGGTATACTAAAAACATTATTAAAAGGGCTATTTTAACGACAACAAACCGCCCACATAACGGATATCTGATAGTCGGGGAATTCGACTATAGCGTCTTTCTTCTTTTCAATCTTTTTATGTGTAAAATGAATGAGTAACAAAATCTTTAAAAGTTATAATTCTGTTCAAAACATGTATCCTAATTATGTTTGTTTAAAGTTCGGTAGACACAATGATCAGCATATATGTATATTATCTTCCAAATATTGAGCCTCGTCATGAAAAACATTTTACCGAGCTTTAACCGAAAGAATAATCTTTACATATTTTTTGTTAAAAAGTTTTGTTTCATCCTTGCATGATGTAATTGCGTATTTCAGCATAAATGTATCGAATCTTTTTATATACATATACATACATATACTTTTTTATACATATAATTTACAAAAATAATTTTAAGAAACCTTATATTTATACCCAAGCTTATCGTTGGCTTGCTATGGTTTTATATGCTGGCAACGTACATTAGTGTAATCGGCAACTTCCCGTAAATGGTTACAGGTTACAGCACCAAACTCATTTGTTGTTGGTAAAGCCCATCCGTCTGCAACGTTTGCTGTAACCTTTTTCACCACAAGATACTTTAAACGATTCCAAACGATACCGCTTTACGGGTCAGAATGCCAATGACAATGTCATTTGTTCTATACACTCAGTAACGTAATATTCACTAGGGCTTTAGTAACTGTGCAATTGTAATAATTAACTCGACGGGAAACCATGTAGCAGGGTATGATAAAATATTGCGACACAAACCGACCGAAAGTTTACTAGACGTTCTTGTACCACTATGCAGATTTGCATAAATAATTTGTGATGCCTAGCAATGGAAATCGCAGCATCCGGCAGACCAGAAGTTATGCGGGTGCTGGTCGGTAGGAAAGGGCTTTCGGCAGCACATTTAAGTTGCTGCATTTATTAGAGCCACACCCAGATAAAATTATCGCCCAAAAATGTCAAAATGGCGAGTTCCCCAACTATCAGGTACCCATTACTATGCTAGTGGAAATGCAAACGAGAAATTGAACGTGAGAGTTGTGTGCGGTTTGTGGGCGTGGCAAAAGGTTTATTGGCAAATATATAGAAATTTAGAAGATATATTCAAAAATTTAACGATAGAATGCTAAAGTTGAGTTCCCCGACTATCAGATACCCATTACTCAGCTAGTGGAAGTGCAAATGAGAAATTTCAACATTTCCTGGAATGTCGTTAGAAATTGGGGAAAGTGTGGGCGGGGGAGTTTTGTGCTGTTTGTGGGTGTTAGGGTAGTTGTTTAGCAATTTATAGAAATTTACAAGAAATATAATAAAAATGAAAAAGTATCAGAACATTTTTCAAAAGTGTGGGCGTGATAGTTTTCTGCGGTTTGTGGCAGTTGTCAACTCTTTGCCTCTTGTAGTTCCTGAGCAAGAATATAAATACTTTATATGGTCGGAAACGCTTCTTCTTGCCTGTTACATACTTTTCAAAAAAATACCTTTTACTCTACGAGTAACAGGTTTAATAAGACCTAAGATCATAAGACACTTATTTAACAGTTTACCCTAATATGAGGTACCGCACACCATACACACCTGCCATAAAAACTTGCTTCGTGTTTTACCAAAACCAAATAAAAAGAAATGAATGCAGATCAAACATACAATTCATATAATTGTTTAGAATTATATTGGCTTAACAGTTTGACTCATATTTGCCAACTTTATAAACCCTTAGCTGCGTATTTACTTACATGTAACTAAATGCACAGGAATAAGACTACTTTTGTTTAAAGTAGTTAAATCATACATTTACATAATATTTACAACATGGATCACGAAGAGAAATTTAACAGAAAATGTAGCTTTTTAAGTGAATACTATTGAATAGGCAATAACTTTTTTTATTAAGATCTATCGCTTGCAGCGTATGGAACTGTTGGAAAGCTTAGAAAAATTATTATAATACTAAGGTGCCTAGAAATCAAGTCTATACATTACCTACACAAAAGTATATTTTTACTTATTGAGGGATCACATCAAGAAAATGATTAGGTCAGGCATTAGCTTATAATAAGTGTGCCATTGTTTTGGGTGTGATAAGCGACATATTGTGAGTCTGGTATTTGCGGAAAACCACCAAACCAACAAAAATATGCAATCCAACAGATACGCACTTAGTGCTTCATATGCCAGCTATCGGGTGACAATAAATCAATTTGCGGCGTTTTGATTAACTCTTTGCGGGACCCGCATCCGCCCTTCGTGCCACGCCTTTTCGCTTGGAGTCCTTTTTCCGCTCCGTTGGGGCACTTGTTTAATTTCGTATGCAACTATTTATTCGAGGCAGGATGTTGCCGAATCCACAGCATCCGATGGATTTTATATACTTGCAACAGTGCACAGTTTGTACAAAACTGGACCGCTAATATGTCCTCTTTGCTTGGCCTTCAGTTAGCCAGAGTGTAGTTCAGTTTAAAAGTGGCAGGGCTCACGTACCTGGCGTAAGAATTTAACGGCGTGCGCAGTGCAAAGTTAGCTGTGCCCATTGGACTATTGAGTCCTTGATGCAAATGTGGAATGTAGTTAGGTCCTGCGACCGAGAAGGCAACGCAGTAAATTTTTGGTATATTATTAATATCCAAAGACGCAGACACCAGTTAAAGCTTGAGGGGTATAAGTCGGCTACAAGCTAAAATGTCTTTTGATTTACCGAAATAAAATTTTTACAAAAGTAGATAAGCAGAAATACATATCGATTTTAGAGGCTTACATTCCCAACCCGCCATCCTGCTGCGACATTCCGTTGCCAGAGAATTTCATTTATTCAGGCAGAAAAATGGCCAATACATTATACGGCAATAATCTGACTGCTATGTTGGGGAATACAAGGGCAAAAACTGTGTGCTAATTACAGTGCTCAGGCCGAGGAGGACTCGGTTTGCCTAGTAAACCACGATTACTCCCGAAAATTGCCAAGGTCCTAGCCCCACAGACGTGATCCAAACAGCAGCGGCAGGAATAAAAGCATCAATTCCGGTTGCTGTACCAACAATAAAAGGCGTCGGCGGGGGCATCATAGTCATGGTCCACTTCTCTGGGGCAGCAAATGGCGAAGTGTTGCAGGAAGTTAAGGGGCAGTAGATGCAGCCAACAATGCAGCCCCAACAGAATCCATGTAGGTGCTTTTCTCGCTTGCAAATTACACCCGGGAAATCATCTTTGTGCAGTCCAGTCCCACCAGAACCCTTTATTTGCAACCCAACTATGCTGCAACCCGACTCCGGACAGCTGAAAGTGCAAACGGCCAGGGAAATAACAAAGACGATGGTTTCAGTTGGAACTCAAAAGGATAATTTTTGGGTATAGGTTATGGAGAGACATTCGTTCTCACGAAATTACGAGGCTTTGCGGGCACTCAAAAAGGAATCTTCGATGATGGTTTCGTTCAATGGTTTTTCAAGACCATAATAAACAAGAGTTTTTAAGTGGCCAAACTACCATCTAGAAACATTTCTCCTGGGCATTATACAGTATACATTTTGGAGGAGTCATAAACATAACGCTAGCTGAGTTGGCATGATTGCACAGTACTCATATTTGGGTGTAGGCTGACTTTGCTCGCAGGTTTAGTGGCTAATCGAACCTAGCAAATCAGTGAACGTGGGCCAATTGATGATGGTAATTCAAGTGTGCATGGATGAACCACCTAAGCACCTGTACCGCGTGTATTGACGCAGAGCACTACAGTAGCTAACAGATTTAGTAAACCGGAAACACGGTGGCTGTCGAACACTGAAGCTTAGCCTGGCATATAAAACAAATGAATACGATGGGCTTGGGCCTGAGGACCACAATACGCTTTCCCATGGCAAAACTAATGATATTCCGCCCACAGTTGCTATGGCCGCTGCAGCGCTTCAAGGACTCTCGAGGCCAGCACTTGCTCCAAGGCGAGGCGCTTAAGTACGGCATCGATTTAAAAGGCAACGACTTTGACCAGGAGGAGCTGGAACGCGTGCCGGCCAAGCAGTTACCCAAAGAAGCAGTACCAGTTCAAACGCATTCGCCCTTGGACCCGGAGTACAATGCGCAGTCGAAGTCCGATGGGGAAGCGAAAGACATCCCGCTACACATGCCGCACGCTCGATGGGAAACAGCAGCTGCAGCTTCGACTACGATGGTGCCAGGCATGGCGAGCGGCGGCTTCGTCTACAGATGGATGCTGGGCCAGTGGTCCAAGTGTTCACAGGAGTGTGGAGCGGCCGGCAGTGGCCTGCAGGTAAGTGAATTGGTTGCAGTGGCTGTCAGGCCGTTTAATACCCTCGCGCCTAGTCAGCCAGATTTATAGCTATGGGCTATGGACTTCCCAAGAGATTCTTGCTCTTCCAGGTGGGAAGAACAGCCATATATAATATAGCTTTCAAAGGAATAATCGAAAAATAAGAGAGAATGCTGTGGTCGAGTTCCCCGACTATCAGATACCCGTTACTCAACTAGTGGAAGAGCCATCGAGATATTTTAACACTTTCTGCAATATCGGTAGAACATGGGAAAAATAATAAAATGAAAAAATTTTCATTTTCCAAATTTTAGGGCGTGGAAGTTTTTGGCGTTTGTGGGCGTTAGAGTGGCAGTGGTAACATTTGCGTCAACATTCTAGCTTCAATAGTTCCTCAGATCGAGGCGTTCGATCGACTCTATATATACTTTATATGGCCGGCAACGCTTCCTTCCGACTGTTTCATACTTTTAACGAATCTAGAATACCCTTTTACTCTATGAGCACGGGTAAAAAAATAAAAATCTTCAGGAGAGACGGCAAAGTCTATTTTACTTTGTCGTTAGGGTTTTCTTATGGGAACTTTGGCAATCGGCAAAGAACAAACTCATTAAAAAGAGCTATATATTCAGATGCTTATCAAACATAAACCGAAATTATGTTTTGCCGTAAAACTGGTGTATAACGAATTAAAGCAACGAAGGTATATTTTTTATTCTGAATATTCCGATCCGTCCCGTGCGACTTTTATACTACCTGCATCAAAAAGAGATGAGAATATAATAATAATAATATATATAATAACTCGTCTTTGTCAAGAAGAAAAATAATGATGGCGACGCCATCTACTAAAATAAACTGGTTGCATTGACGTCTGTGGATCTCGGCGTTCATGTCCAGGCAGCTCGATCCTCCCAAAATAATTTTTGTGAGATGTTAAATTTACTTACGTTATGTGGGTATTGCCACTGCAGTATCATAAAATGCGTTCCAAGGCAGTAACGGCTCGAAACCGCCTGAAAAGGCCTTCTAAAATAAAAAGTAGGATTATATAATATGCAGCAACAGTTACAAGTCCACTTTCCCGGCCTTAAAGCTACTTACTTCATTGTCAAGAGGAAACAATAGGATTTATATATTCTTCCTCTACTCCCCAAGCGGCGTACGGTGAGCTGCCACAGAGTAGCAACGGCCACGGACTCCGGCAGTACTGGCGACACCGAGAGCAATGTCGTAGATAATTCAGAATGCTCCGCGCACGGCCTGGAGCTGCCAGATTTGTTCCAGAGCTGCGGCAACGAGGCCTGCCCGCAGTGGAGTACGGCCGACTGGACGCCCTGCCAGCGATCCCACTGCCACGGAAGGAATACGGCCATGCAGCGCCGCCAAGTGACGTGCCGCTACGCCAACGGCACGGCGGGAGGCGTCTGCGACGAGTTTGAGCGACCGGCGACGCGGCAGGAATGCTACAATGAGCGGTGCAAGGGCGTGTGGCGCGTGGAGTCTTGGTCCGAGGTGGGTCCTGGATCGCCTATTAGCAGTGTTAAATATTAATACCTCATTGTCTCCCACCAGTGCAATGCGCCGTGCGGTCGTCAGGGCATCAAGTACCGCATCCTGCAGTGCGTCTGGTACGGAAGTCGCCGGCCAGCCGGCAATGTGTGCAAGCACCAGCCACGCCCGGCGGTGATGAAGGTCTGCAAAAGTCCGGCCTGCCAGGCGCAGTGTGAGTATCGACCTAATGGTCTCATGCCTAATATTGATAATAGAATTTATTTATATTTAATATTTTTATACCCGTTACTTGAAGAGTGAAAGGTTGTACTAGGTTCGTTTAAAAGTATGAAACAGGTAGAAGGAAGCCTTTCTGACCATATTAGAATCACAAGCCGAGTCGGTCTGGTCATGTCCGTCTGTCCATTCGTCTGTCCATTCGTCTGTCCATCCGCCTGTTCTTCCGTATGAACTGTTTGCTACGCCTACTGCGACCGACATTTTTTCATTTCCAAATTTCTATCGGACAGCCAAACATTTGTTTACACTGCCCGCCCTTACCCTACACTTTTAAAAAATTTTTAAGTTTTTTTTTTATATTTTATTATTTTTTTTCTCCAATTTCTACCGAGTCCAGAAAATGTTGAAATTTCTCGTTCCCACTTTCATTAGCTGAGTAAGGGGTATCCGATAGTCGGGGAACTCGACTAAAGTCAATAAAACATTTATTTACAAAAAAAAGTTAAATAAAATATTAAAGAATAAATAGACCTGAATCTATTGATATGCCAAAAACACGCCCGTTCAAACGCTCATAAACCGAAAAAAAAACAAAATAGGTGGCGCTCGTGTCGAATCTGGGAAAATATACATCTTTCTTGCACTTCGATTAGCTGACGAACGGCTACCTAATAGTGAGTTAACTCACGATTTTTTTAGAACGAAAAATTGCTAAAGAGACTTTCCGAACAAAGTGGTTAAAAAATCAATTTTCCATACAGGGCAACACAAGACAGCTCAAAACCAAAGATTTGAAGAGTGCTTTTCGAATTATGTATTTTATCAAAACTTTTTTTTCTCATTTTCATTTACAATCTGTCTTAAGCATCAAAACACTGAACTGACAATGTATAGCGGATACTTTTATCCACCATGACGTAATATTATACGTCGCCCTTATGTTCAAATAGTTCACAGAGTGTATATATTTTGAAAGACAACTAACTACCCTCTCCTTATCCGCAGTGACGTCCTCCCAGTACTGTCGGGACTCCTCAAACTACTGCCGTAATGCCAGCGCCATGGGTCTGTGTCGACTCCATCGCTACAAGCAGAAGTGCTGCGGATCCTGCCAGCAGCAACATAATCAACATCTTATTCTATAACTCCACTGCGGCTTACCAAAATAACAAGAACGTTTAAGGAACTCAGCAAGCAATTACCCTAGGTACCGAAATAAAACGTCTATAGCAATATACTAAGTATAACTTATCCACGAGTATGCATCGTCAGCAACATCCGCACTTACATGAATTTACCTTAATATATGTAGTGTCAAAGGCCATTTATGAACAAGAACGTATTATTTATAAAACATCCAATGCGGAAACGTGACTTGACACTTGTGTCTGAAGTAAGCTAAACATTGTAAGATCTGTTTTAGATATGTTCCCTAAGGGCCATTATTTTAGCAGCATGTGACAAAACAATTAAACAAAATCAATTTAAACAACCACCCAATTCGTAAGTGTATGAATATTAAGCAATCGTGAGAAACAATTCATTCGCGAAAAATATTCGTAACAAGGATAATTATTAGTTTAGGGTAACCGAGCTATTATTAGCTAGCTAAAGAATGCATCCGTTTTGCATTATGTATGATTCGATTACTTGCTGACTTAAATGGCCCACAAAATATATTCGACCAGCAGCCATCTTAAATTGAACAGCTGAAATAATTCGATAAACTTAATAAAAAAGAAGTCCGCACTATTACCTGGTGCAAACGAAACCCGAATATTATTGTGTACATATAGATAAGAGCTAAGGGCCTCTATTGTCGGTTTATAGCACTGGAATTACTTTCGATTTGCATTTATCAATTAACCACTAAGAATGTTGTAAATAAATCGGGTTTATCACTAAATCCACATTTTATTTAATGGCCAGCCTTGTAATTTAATGAAAGTCTAACTATTTGAAATAAATATATACGCCTAATTGTAATTAGTTTTATATGAATCATTGTTTTTATGTATACCAAATTAAATTGAAACACTAGATTAACTCTAAATAACACTGCAACATGTAAGCTGCTAAGTATAGACGAATATATCGCAATTGTTAAAGCGTAACTAAATATATATACTGTTAAGTGAAAGTTATATTAATAAGCCAAAGAGTAAATGCATCAGTAACCAATATCAAACGCCTACAGACGCAAGCAAAAATAAACACAATCGCAGCCCGAATTAAATCGCATAACACAGCAAGGATATAACAAAAATGCGATGTATTGTACAAAAATCGGAACAAATTTGGAATAAATATTAAATACTAATAAACTAAACCTGTTTTTGGAGTCAGTTGATTTGCCTGGTACACAAATCGCTAAGATATTATTATACCCGCTACTCGTAGAGTAAAAGGGTATACGTTTTCTTGATTAGGATCAATGTCTTTTTCATTAGTCTTGTACATTTTTAATGATTTGCCAAACAGTTTTTGCCACGTCCAACTCTTCCGCAAGCAAGCGACCCAAAACTGTCACGCCCACACTGGATGTAGAAACAAAAAGAAAATGGGACGTAACCGGTATAAGGTTTTTAATTTAGCTTTCTTTAACTAGCAAATCCAAAATTACCTTTTAGGAAAAAAGAGAGAATGCTATATTCGAATTCTCCGATTATAGATTTTTGCAGGTAGAAAATATTTCGCAAAACAAATAGGGTAATATTCGAAGGACTAGTTAACCTCGAAATGAACCTTCAAAGTTACAAAACTTTAACTTAAGAATGACAGAAGAACTTAAAATGCCTATCTGGATTGCCAATGCGATACTACGGAAACCTGATGAACAAACTGTTCACTCAAGAAGGAAATATAGACATATGTTTAGATTCTAAATGTTTATGTTTAGTCGCGTGTCAAACTAAAAGGATTCCAAGCCTACCAATTGTGTCGAGCACTCTCCGAAAATAAGTATGGAGCTTGAAAAATTACAAAAAGGTAAAGTACGCGTTATCAAAATAACTATCTACTTAGTATTTCTTAGCTAATTCATAAGTAGGTTCAACTTCCTCGGACCAATCATATTATTGGGGTTACTTTTTCTCAAAATACCATATAGAACTGGTTTGGAATGCGGTTGCAATTTTTACTCAACAGGCAATCGATAACCGATGATGCGAAAACACCTTATCTTATTGACTTTTTTGTCGGGAAATGAATAAATGCCAATTACATCATAATAGAAGAAACCTTTGATCTTTCCCCTAATCATTCGTTAATTATTTCCCTAATTATTTATTAAAAGGAAAGGCAACCTAGATTAACTAGCAGGAAAACTCACTAGCATGATTTTTAAAAAGAAGTTAAAGAACGCACTGCGCTTAAAGTATTGCTTAGAAGTTTCAAACTCGAAATCGAAGTTAATCGGTTCGTTAAAGTCATACAGGATGAATTGTGTAGTAATACTCCTTTCAAACTAAAACCTCAGTTAAGATAGTCATAGGTCATAAGATATCTATCTGAAATAAGAGAAATTGGTAAGCACAGCCCAATAACATAAAAGATGTTTTTTTTTTCTTACTTTGCTTTTATTTATTGAATCTTCTCTATTTCGAGGCTAACAAGAAGTGTATCATATCTTCATATCATATCATATCTGTAACCTAACTAGCAGTCATGTAGACTGGATCAGAAAAAACGGCCCTGACAAATTACGGCTGGGTTGGAAAGTCGGTAGGTTGCAGGCGGGTTCGATTGAAGACCCGAGTCAACACCTTGCATAAGTTTTTGGGTGGGCAGAGAGTTTTTTGCTTGTCTATTTCATCTATTACTGCGTGAATGCCTATCGAATGTTTCAAATGTACCGTGGTGGCCCAGAGATAGTTGGCAGGATCTTTGATTGAGCGCGCTGTATTATGTCTATCTACGCCAGTCAGATAGCCACTTCTAACCACTTTGGTTTGAGCGGCTGAGGATCGCAGTGTGGTCAGCAAAGGTGGATATTGTTATCCGGATGGGAATATCCGCTGTGTAAAGGACGAAAGGAGTTGGCCCTGCCAACTGTGCGCTGCCTTGTGGGACTCTAGCTTCGATAGTGTACTTGTTGGATGTTGAAGAGGTACGGCTCAAGGAGTTTATGAGTGTACCCAGCAAGTGTGTTTTAATTTTAAGCACGAAGCCTTTGAGCCAGACTCGGTCGAATGCTTGAGATACATCGAGGAATATCGCGCTGCAATATTCTCTAAGCTCGAAGGCTGTGCGAATTTCTGATGTTATTCTGTTACCCTGCTCGATAGTTCCATGTTTTTCTCTGAAGCCAAATTGATGAGCTGGGATAATGCTTTGAGCTTCCATGTATGGTATTATTGGTAGGTAGGTAGGTATGGTAGAAGGCTTTTTTCGAATAATTTAGACAGGTAATAACATAACATGACAGATAACGGAGGTTATAACAGGTGATAACATAACATGACGGTTTTGATGATTTGTGATCTCGTGTTTCGGCTCTGTCTCTGTCGCTGCGGGCCCAGCCACCTGAAGAATTTCTTATCTGAGTGACGGTTTCAATCGGGGAACATATATTTGGGTGAGCCCTCCACAAGCGATGCTTTGTACTTGTTGGCGAGAGTTTTTCGATATAGTTTAGTTGTGAAATTTCGGCGTCTTGTTTCAGAGCCCGGTTTAGTTTGCGGGTGGCTTCTGCTGGTTTCCCACGCCCGTCGCAGACGTCTCTTTTCCAGAACCAGCTGTTCGATTTGCAGGTTGGTTTTGGACTTCTTAGTTTCCACATCCTTTCGTTTTGGTGTTGAGATTCTGGCTGCTGTGACGAGCACCTTTTCCAGTCTATTTCCGCTTCGATATTAAGCAGGGGAGTTATCTCAATGTTGGAACTCACATGGATTCCATGGGTGAAAGACGAGAGCTATCGCCACAGTGAGAGATACACAAGAAGACTGGACAACCACCCCAACCACCTGGCTAACAAGCTTCTGGACAACGGACAATCAACGCACCCTCTTGACCTCACCCAACATTAAATTATAAATTTAACCCCTACACAAGTACATGCTAGGTACTCCCTTTATGTTAATGTCCCCCCTCCAGTTTGTTGCTGGCTTATATAAGTGCATTATACAGTTTTCTTCCCTTTGGAGTATCGAGGCGTGGTGCCCAGTGCGTGGGCTTGGCGTTGTAGTCTCCTACAGTTATGAAGCGATCCTCCGGTGTGTTGTAGAAGTCCATGAATTGACCTTCAGAGATGGTAAACCGCTAAAGGTTACCGTTTCCTGACTGCACTTGTATGGACGTGGCTTGCAAGTAATTTGTTGCAAACCCTTATTACAAAAAATTTAGTGAAACCTGTGGTGTTTGATGCGTTCTCTGATTAAGATGGCGATTCCGCCGTGGGCTTTGCCATCCGAGCTTTGCGATCTGTGCGGTAAAAGGTATAACCCCTTTTGTGAAAGTTATATCTCCCTGTACCTCACAGGGTTTCAACCAGCAGCCCGGCGTCGGTGTGATTTACGTGTGCACCACGAACTCCCAGAAAATGTAAGCAAAAGTCGTTAATTGAAAATCATGTTCGAATATCATTGAATATTCATGTTCGATAGGAATAGTTATGACAACAATGAGAAACACATGTCTAAGAATAGTTCTGGCGTACAAATTGTGCAAAGAGTGAATCGCCTGAATTCCACACCACTATTGAAGAATAAAAAACAATATAAGATCCAATTGATGCAATCCACTCAAACAAAGATACCAGTGAAAGTGAGGCCAGTGAAAGTTACCCTCATCACCACAAGCCGCTTGTAACCATTTTCAATCCGAGTAAGAACCATCCTTTAATTACGTCAAACATTATTGGCATATTTATTAGACTTACAGTATCGATCGACTTATGTTCATGGCAACACAGATGCTATGTACACATATCATTTCTTCTCGTGGGCACAGATCCCAGATTCGTGAATGAAACTTCCCAAGCAAATCTTACAGTGCGCTTCTGTGGGATGGCCAGAAAAGCTTATTGCTTACTTTAATATGTGGTTTGCCTTTATCAAGAAACGGCTTTGCCTAGACACAGAAGTTACCCGAGTAATTCTTCCAGCCATTCTACGAGCTCCCATAATGAAACTCTTGCATAAATAACATCGGGTCATTTTTTGAATGAAGCGACAGCCGGACAACACAATAGGTGGCCTACAATTGATAAAGGCAAGTGCTGGAGTACATGTATGTGCAAAACCCATGCCCATTAAAAAAAATCAAATTTGTCGTACACCTACACCACCATGGGTTGAATTCGATTCGACTTCGCCGGGCCAACATTTGACTTATCTGACTTAGTTCAAACGTCAACTACCACAACCGTCAACACGATCTCTGCACTATCTTCCTTTTTTCGTCATAGAAGTGTAAGCAACAGCTTACAACTTAGGCCTTTAGAGACGAGAAAACGAAATGGAATAAAACAAATAGCCACAAAACCGTTTCATTCCTCTACAAACGGTCTTGCAAAGCGTTTTCTTCAAGCTAAAGTTTTTTCAGTTCGCGTAACATTATACCGTAATAAATACCTTGCTTCTTACAGGTTCACTTCCAGTTTTGAAAGTAAAACCCTTGCCGAGTTCTGTGCTAAGTCAACCTCTTGAACAGTTTTAGAAGAAAAGCAATCTGACATGAAAGTACTCCCCTCGTATCAAATTGTATACACTTGTAATTAATCAAGGGGACAATATTGGATTGAAGACATTACTGACCGTCCAATTGGTAAAATGCGACCATTACTTTTTTGTCAGCACACATTCATACTTTGAACAAGACTGGACAACTTTGTTAAATTTTCACAAGTATGAGCACTCTGAAATCAGAACTCAACCTAAATACGTAATATTGATGAGAAAAAAATCATAACATTATTAAAAAGTGTGGGCGTGACAAGCCCGAGATAACAATCCTGATCAAAAATATATTTACTTTATTGGGTCGAAAACGCTTCCTTCTACCTGCTAAATACTTTTTAATAAATCTCGTATACCATTTTACTTAACGAGTAAAGGGTACAAGAACTAGAGAGAAAGCTTATGTCGAGTTTCTAGACTATCAGATACCCGTTACTCTACGAATAACGTCTTTAAAAAGCAACTCATGTAAAAGGTCCCGCACTACATGAAGTTGTCACGTTACGTGAAGGAAAACGACGATTCTCGGTTATCTAGGACAAGAATGGCCAATTGTAAGATACTATCAGAAGGAAAGCATAGAATATCAGTTAAGTACCAACAAAAGACAGCAGAGGATAAACAGCTTGACAGCTGAAAAGTAAAGGACAGGCATCTCTTAACGACGACGAGAAAATCTAATATAGGGAGTAATGTGCAGGAGATTAAAATATAATTTCCAATTCTACTAAACGATACGTTCAACATTACAGTGACAAAACGAGTTACTCTAAAAAACGCATCTCACATGTACATATATCCCGTTGACATCAAAGCAAATACAATAATCAAATACAAACATCCACAAATAATTATAAACTTTTTCAATAATTCACGTTAAGCCAAAAATCGTTGGACTAAATTTTAACCCTTTTCCGACATCTTTGGACTCGATTTGGTAGTATATAAAACATAAGCCAGATATGTAGTTTTAAATCCCTTAAATTAAATAAGCCCATAAATTGGTTTTATTTTTTATAAACGTTATAAAATATTTCTTGATATAATAATATTATTATATGAATATAAGCTGTTCACATAAGTTTTAAAGCGATACAAAATACTAATCTACACTATTATTACTGCCATTCCTTATTTAACATCACGATACATAACATTTTTATATTTCTGTTTATTAATAAAGCTAAAACGCACAGACGTACGCTCAAGCTAGCAAAGGGTCTAACTGCCGATATAGGACAACCACTGTGTAAAACAGATTAGTTATCGAATACAAACTAATAGTAGTACACTTAAATAATGTTGCATTTATGTACATTGCTGTCGATGAAACACAAAGTATTCTATACACAAATTGGATAATACACAGCTGCGTATGTATACAAATCTAAAAATTAATATATTTTTAATATTGCAAGCATATATGGTACTGCGAATTCCAAATAATTCATGATTGCAAACACATTGAGATTAGACGTCAGTAAGCCTTACGATCAAGTGTTTTTTCAGTCTCAACACAGATCGAACCATAGGGGATCTGCCAGAAGCTCTTTCCTATCAATGATATCACAGCGCCACGACACACTATTTACTATTACTATATTCTAATAGCATCTTATGGCTACTATAAGATCAATGCTGGCAGAGTTCTTCCTTGTTGAATATTTGACTTATAGTTTTCTGCTTACACACAATTTTTTAAACAATTGCACAATGCATGCGCTTCTGCTCTTCCAATTATGTTGCGTTTCGACCGTTTCCCTCTATTCAAATAAGCAAATTTTAAATAAAATATATTTTTTAAACACTTCAAATGATGAACGGGTGTTTTTCAATGTTTAAAAGAGGGCGAATTTTGTAAGAGGGTGAAAGTTGGCATTGAGTAACAATAGTTGAAATTAGATCTTTCTTTCCATAAGAACTATGTCACGTAATTAAAATTCTCCTCAAGAATCAATTTGCCGACTAAATGCATTTAAGATTTGTATTTATTAATTTAACAATATTTTTTTTCTTTAAACATTTTCTACTTTCGCTGTTCGCATTATCTTTTAGATCGCAATAAGACTTTTTTTGTAGCTGTCAACTATTGTCAAACAACATTTGTATGCTATTTTCATTTGCATCAAACATCTAAACACATATGTTAGATAAAGTACATTGTTGGCGACTGGGATATGTTTTTAATAATAGAGGGTGGGTTGTGGGACAACTTATGTTATACAATTTCAAACCATATTCGAAGACTTATGTCTATAATGAAACTAAACCATAATTTGCACTAATGAAAATGTGAATAAATGTGTATTTCTACTTTATGCAATTTTCAATTATATTAATTTCGGTTATGCTAAGTTTTAATAAGTTATATCACAACAATAGAGACAAAGTGCGGCGGCGTGTGATGGCTTGTTTCGAGTCAATCAAACAAAATACAAAGACATTATTCGGGATTGTGCCAATGCGAAAGGTAAAGCATTTACAGGCATTCAACATGGAAATACTCTCACAAGACAACGTATATAATTGGTATATGCATATGCACTTATTTAAATAGGGTTAGAGAGCAACACACGCCAGTAACAGAGTTTCACTGAGATCCAAGACAAAAGTTTCGTCGAGCTTCTTGTTTATATTAACTCTTGCTGAGTGCCTTTTTCTTTCTTTGTACCAGAATGTCATAAAACGGATTATGGCTGATAGACTGCGTCAAACGCTTGATCCACTCCTGTTGATCTTCCTCCGTGGCAGCGGACATACGGTACACCGTATGCTTGCCCTCTACCACCTGGAATATAAGAAAATAACTAACTGCACTGCTTCAGTTTACTATCCTATATACTTACTTTGCCCTCAGAGTCAGTCTTGCATGCCTTGATTATATCAGCACCTCCAGTCGCAAACAGCTCAAAGCAGTGCGGTTTGCTGCGATCGTGAATTTCGCGCACCGATATGTTCTCCAGTGGAATAATGCCGCGTGGTTCCTTATCCGTTGTGTATTCAAAATAGTATAAGCAATTGTCGTTCAAAATAAACCAACGACGTTTCCACGATTTGTATCTTAGCAAAACAAAAAAAATTAAAAAACAATTCGTTGGTCAACTGTCTTGGCAATATTTATCAACTTACCTGCCGCCTTGCTTCCACAGCCAGCCCTCCTTATCGGGATTGAAGAAGGTGTGCATCAAATCATTGCCATCATCCTGGGGTATTTTAAATGGCTCCGTTCGAATGGACTCGTAAAGAGATTCTAGAAGGCCACGGGGCAAATCTCCGCCGTTGTTGATGCCACGATTCATTGATATGAATTGATCAACGGTGGGCTTGTCTTTAACCTGTTGAAAGCAGAATAGTAGATCGCATTAAAAATTAAAAAGAAGCCTTGACTAAATTATAAAAATACAGCTGTATAACGAACAAAAACAATTTATGATCAAAACACTGAAATTATATTATTTTCAATTCATCGACTACAACCAAAAAACTGGTTTAGTTCAAAAACAGCGAAGGTACATTATTTTCATGTATGATAATTCCTGGGCAGCCGCAATTGAAAACGAATTTCGAAATTTTTGAAAATGAAGACGAACGGACATATATCGACTCGGTTGTTAATACTGCACAATATTATATACTTTATATGGTTGCCAATGTCTAATTGAGCAAGCTTTTGACTATAATCGACTATATACTCTCTTCTACAAGGGTATACAAAATCGATATTGATGTAAATCTTTATTAGACAAAATATAGTTGAGTTAAGCCCTCTGCATTTCTGCGATCCCTGCTGCGAACTAATCAAAATTCTGAAAGCCGAATTCTTCAGTTTTGAAATAGACAAACTATTCTGATTTCATCTCGTGAGTCTTCCTTCTTTTATCGGAATCATCAGATTATACTAGTGCTTACAGATGGATTGTGTAGTGAGGTGTTTAGCATAATAATTGCGAAGCTAAGCACATAGCAGGTGTCTGTGTTGGTGAATATATCTGGATTTAGTTGACAGTAGCGCTGTGCGAAGGTCTCCATCATGCGATCGATCTTTTGTGCCTCGCCGGGTAACCGAAACGACCACAGAAATTGCCTGTAGCGAGGAACACGAAAGAAGAGGAAAATGCTATTGGCGATAGTGATAATAAAAAGTGATTGTCGGGCACCTACCTGAGGGCTTGTACGAGAATGAGATTGGTGAAATCGTGGAGCGCCACAAAAGCCTTGAGCACATCCTCATTAAAATCGTTTTTCTCGCCGAGGTAATCGCCTAAAAATAAGTTTATTCATAAGTGTCTAATTGATTTTTTGTCATCGAAAGCATGCATTTTAATTACAATAACTTACCAATGGCCGTTTTATTCAGTCCCTCTCCCTTGTAGAGAAAGTGAGCAACGTCCTGGGGATCATGACGCAGTAGCCGGTTTTCAACGAGATACTCAATGCCTAAAAAAAATATGACATTTTACAAATATAGAAAAAGAAGATAGAATGATATAGTCGAGTTCCACGACTATCAGATACCCGTTACTCAGCTAGTGGAAGTGCAAGTGATACATTTCAACATTTTCTGGAATATCGGTGGAAATTGAGGAATATATATACATTATATGGTCGGAAACGTTTCCTTCTGCCTGTTACATATTCTATCCTTCGGCCTGTATTCTAGATTTTTTGAGAAAAAGTGTAACAGGTGGAAGGAAGTTCCTATAATTTATATATATTCGTAATCAGGATCAATAGCCGAGTCGATCTGGCCATGTCCGTCTGTCCGTCCGCCCGTCACGGTCACACTTTTGAAAAATGTTGTGATATTTTTTCATTTTAAATATATCTTGTAAATTTCTATATATTTGCCACGCCCACAAACCATAAAAACAAACGCCCACACTTTAAAAAAATTATTTTAAATTTCTTATTTAATTTTTTAAATTTGATTTTTTTATTTTATCCCAATTTCTACCGATATTCTATACAATTTTTAATTTCTCGTTTGCAGTTCCACTAGCTGAGTAGCAGTTATGTGATAGTCGGGGAACTCGACTATAGCATTCTATCTTGTTTTTTGTTTTTTATTATTTTTTTGCCAATTTCTATCGATTTTCCAAAAAAATTTCTTGTTTGCATCCCACTAGTTGAGTAACGAGTACTTGAGTTACTCGACTATAGAGTTCTCTCTTGTTATCACAATAATTGTTCTCGAAAAACATGCTACACCAGTAACAAAAGAAAAATCAAAATATGTGACCATTCAAAGCCAGCGACCCCCAGCAAACTTAATAGAGAAGAAATAAGATTGTGTAAAGAAGAAACAGAAAGAGAGTTGACCATAAACAATATGTTATTTTTTAAAAAAGATCATTTACTTTTGATTGACTCACAAAAGAAAGAGAACTTAAATTTTGTAAATAAAACTAATACCTCCACAAGATAGCATCACATACTACCTTCCCCACCTACACCCTTATTAAATAAATATCAAATTCGAACTTAACAAATCGTAACAGGAGATAACGCCATAGTCGAGTGTCGCGACTATACCGAGATACCGATTTCATTCCAATGAACTTTTAATATTTTTCTAATCAATTTTTAACTCATTGATTAATACTGATTACCTTAATAAAAGCTATTCATATTAACGAATACGTTAAGCATGTGAGCGCCAGACAAACTTTACCGTTAGGGTCGTTTGAAGACGTTATAATGCGCACGGCAACGTTTCACTAGAATCTAAACGCATAATCGCGGCCTTGTGATCTCGATCGGAAATATACATATGTAAATACTGCACAGGGTACAGGGTATCCAATGACTCTAGTTTACAAGATATTTGTTGATAAAAAAAATAAAAATAAAAGATGTACATATATATGTACATACATACCTTCTATAGCATTCTATTTTTATTTTACCTTCGGGGCAAAATAAAATATTCTACAATTTCTTGAGCCAAATTAACTTGTACGGAATTTTTTTTACGAATTTCGTTAAGAGTGATCAGAAAATTGCAAGCATACTCGAATGATTTATTGGATTCTGAATTCCGGGAGCAATTTGAAATTAACCCGGAAGTTTGCAACAATTTATTACCTTTTTTTGGGTCCATGTTAAACTTTTTACGCCCAATGGACATCTGTTTATCCTTATTGGAATGCTTGCAGTCTTCGGGTACATCCAGCGCCTCCATTTCCGATACAACCTCGCACAACTCATCTTTAATTTGCTGAAACGATATTTTCAAAAATGTAAAAATTGTAATTATATAGTCTGCACAGGTCTAACACAATGCTATTTGGATTAAACTCGGCAATTCTAAGTTAATGAATGCTACATTTTCATTATAGGCACAGTGATTGCGAGCTTCCGGATGAAGTAGAAAGGGTGACTAATGTAAAACTTATTTTAAATTGGTCAAGATCCTCGACTATCAGATACCCATTATTCCGTTAGCGGGAGTGCAAAGAAAACTTAAAATTTATGTTGGCATAAATAGACAAGACAAGGCATAAATAGACACAAGAGAGGGCGCTAGAGAGTGGGTGTGATAGTTTTTAGCGTATGGGTGGGAAAAGCTTTCTTTAACCTCTTACATTATTTAGTATACCCTCGTAGAGTAAGAGTAACGGGTGAATCAAGAAACTAACTGAAACTCGTTCGGAGACATCGCCTAAATTTACCATTTGTAAAGATGGCCGTGGGACCCACTAAGTCAAGGGTCAAGTAATTCGAAGCAGAATGACAACTATATTGAAACTCAAACCAGCGAGATTCTTCTAAAATGAACAGTGTGTGCAAAGTAAACTTATTGTGCTGACGCATGAATGACCAGAGAGCCGCAAGACCGAAATATTGAAATCCCCCAGTAGATATTTCCAGCCCAGCCATGACATTTTTACTTATTAAGAAGGGCAAGGTATCTGCATCGAATCGAAGGGGTATATATTTATTAGCTAATATAAGGGGCTAAAAGAATGTAACTGTTTATTTACAGTATTATTTATTTTAACGAACCCAGCCAACATCATTGAGATTCACGATGAGATCACTTAAGGCTTTATTCGGAGAATTTAAATAAAGATAAAGATTCACGATGAGATCACTTAAGGCTTTATTTGGAGAATTTAAATAAAGATTAAAAACAGATTCGGTATTATTGAAAATAAAGCGCTGATAAACACTTGTGTCGAGTTGTGTTGAGGAGTTGTAATTAAAATCTGATGTTCTATTCAAAAATATTTTAGGAGACTTACAAAAAACAAGAGAGAATGCTATAGTCCAGTTCCCCGACTATCAGATACTCCTTACTCAGCTAGTGGAAGTGCGAATGAGAAATTTCAACATTTTCTAGATTATTGGCAGAAATTAGGAAAAAAAATTATTAAATGAAATGAAAAAAACTTAAAATTAAGATCGTGAGAATTCTATGCGGTTTGTGGGCGTGGCAAAAAGTTTTTTTTTGCATATCTATATAAGTTTTTAAAATATACAAAAAAGTGAAAAAATATCAGAATATTTTTCAAAAGTGTGGGCGTGACAGTTTTCTGCGGTTCATAAGGACAGACGGACGGACGTGGCCAGATCGACTCGGCTATTAATCCTGATCAAGATATGATCAAGATATGATATATAAGATATATGGTCGGAAACGTTTCCTTCTGCCCGCTACCTACTTTTCAACGAATCTAGTATACCCTTTTACTCTACGAGTAACGGGTATAATTATTATCTGTCTGTCTTAAAAGTTACCATAGAACGCTTTTATGCACTTTCTCCTACCACTGGCATATAACAAGCATTAAAAAGTATTGCAAATTAAATCCTATTTCTTATTCGTCAAACGTAATTCGTTGTCCCGTTTCTGCCCACTTTTCATACCTTTGGTGGTCGCCTGAGGATGACTAGATTGTCACTCTGTTCAGAATTGATGCAATTTCGCTCGAGAAGCGTGTGGCAGCTCTCGCACAGATTCGATTGCTGACTGTCGCGCTTGCTGTTGCTCGTATTATTCTTTGAATTATTTTTGTTGGCTTCTTGTATGAAAGAGTTCCGCTCGAACTCACTTGGCGAGTTGCAGCTATCGTCAATGAAGCGCATATCGCAGGTATCGGGTGTAAGCGGTGAACTGTGTTTCGAACTAGGATCAGTTTCCAGAAACAACTCGGGATGGTTGACGCCAGTTTCAATTTCATTCTCCACGTCTAGCATGCGGCCCAGGGAATTAGAGCGCGTTTTGCGCGGCGATCGCCTTGCGATTATTTCGCCATTTCCATTTAATAGCAGTTCCACGGGTCGCGTCACAATTAAGGTTCTTGTTGTCGTTGTGATGGTTTCGTGCTGGTACTCCGTTCGCTTGCTAATAAGGTCCGTGTTAGGTTCATCACAGGGCAGGCGCTGAACCTCGGTGACCTTCAAGGTAACATCGCGGCAATTTACGGTTTGAGTGCTTAATGTGGGGCTGGCGGGAAGAGGGCTGTCCGGCGCTAATTTCGTTACGTTATATGTTGCCACACTAGTGTAGGGAGAAATGGAAGGGGAGCGGGGCTTGGGCGGGGGCTTCAGCGTGATCTTAATGTCCGACTTGGGCGTGGCCATTGGAGGTGTTTCTTTTCTGTCCCCGCTCTTCGTGATCAAACTGCAAAAGCAGCGAACGCAAACCCTGCTAGGGCCCCTTTCTGGGGTGCCTTTAGCACTAGCAGACGATACATTCCGGGTGTTGATGTAGAAAGTGCTGTTGCTTCGCCGACTGGCAGGGGATTCCGATTCATAGAACTCCACACTTTCACCACCATCGCAACCCACCGGCTTCGCGGATAGGTCAAAGCAGCTCCTTTGCAACGGCTGCTTTCTGCCAACACTTTCCATTCCTCCCAAGCCGGAGGAGCACGTCTTGTTCTTTGGCTGCCGACGAAGCGAGGAGAACCAGTTACTTATGCTGGGACGCTTCTGGTGGAGGGATGCCATCCTTCTTGCACAATTGCTCTCTTCCTCGGAAACAATTGCGGCACTTAAGCATGCCCCTCAATAGTGCCACGCTGAAAAGTGTATAGATCGAAGTTTAAGGAGATCTTTTTGGTGCAACTTCTTGAGGTAGTCAATTTACAAGTACAATTCGGCGTGTTTTTGGATTTCATTCCCGTTACTCGTTGATTGAAATGGTGTAATATATTGTGCATAATTGGCATATGACTTATAAAAAAAGTTAACTGCGTGGCTGCATATCTCGATATCTATCGTACTACAGCTGGGTAGTAGCCGTCAGCTGGTAAGCTAGCTTATCCTTCAATTACAATGGCATGTAAGAAATTGCAATCACCAGCTAAGAACCAAAACTACTTTAAAATATTGATTTAAGTGGTCTGAGTGCGTTAAAGGCCTTTTTTCCTGCATTATTTTTAGTGAGCATTTGTTAAAGCAACCTGGTGGCACTTTTGCTTAATTAATTTTTCTTAGTATTATGACCAATCTATGACCGTCCAAAAAAACAAAAAATGTGTATTTAGCTTACACAAGAAAAATCTGCTGGTGTTTAGATACTAAAACCTGATAGCAACAGGTACAAATACTTTTGTGGCAGTTCCCAAACAACAACAAAGCTTTTGAAGCCGTTTTTATATTTATCGTGAGATATTCGACATTAGTTTACAGGAATCAATTTGCAAATGTGCATTGGGCTTTTGGTCTCAGTTTACAAACGCTTATTGTTGCTTGAATGGCTACGTTCTAGCACTGCTCGATTCATTTAGTTTTGGGTCAAGGCGGTAGGGTTTATTGTCTGCACGTTGAAATTTGTCAGGTAAGGAAGAGAGACTTTAATAAGTGAATGATTCAAACAGAATGACATTCTCAAATCTTTTTATAATCGTAATTTTCTTGAGTGGGTGATAAAGTAAATTGACTAAAACAAATTTGCATGTATGTAATTGTTTTTGAATATCACAAATATACAATTGGAAAAAGTAATTAAGTAATTAAGAAAAAAAATTCAAAACATTTTCCAATTTTTCTTCTCTTCTTCCTTTTCTCTGAAAAAAATTGCCTTTAGGGCGCAAGATGTCTATTGTCATCAGCAAGATACATTTTTGATTACAAAATAATAATTAATAATAATTTTCACAAAACTGGCTTTAATACATTTTTTGAGTAAGAGGTACCACCATAACTTCTATCTCACTTCGTTGAGAAGTTTTTGTTCGATTTCTAATGAAACAAAAAAAATATATGTAATCTCTTGGTTAAAATGAAAGAGAAAATAAAAAGGCGCACGCGTCTTTTTAGAGAGATACTTTCGATTTATACATATGAAACTGATACCAAGACGAAGAGTAAGGCAAGGACCAAATAATTGTAGTCCGTCCGGTCCCGAGCCATTCTCTTCCGATTGTCATTCTCTAGTTATCAAGACGTAAGATGTCTGCCGTCAATGTTGTTGACCCACGTGATTTGAACGCGGAAAAAATAACCTAACCGGTTTGCTCTTTCCCTCTATTATTAAAAGCTATTTCTACCCCTTCCTCTTTGTCGTTGGAATTTCTGCCACTATCGGTTTAGTTCATTCTACGTTATTTTGTCTGACTTGTCTGTTGCTCCCTTATGTTTTTACCCAATGCTTTTAGACTACTGCTGGAATAGAAACGCTTTTACTTTATTTTTTTTTTCTCGGCTAAGAGAAAGAAAAACATGAAACTGAAAGTCTATTGTGTTTTCTTAAAGTCAAACATCTGTGAAGTGCAGGTCCTGGAGAATATCTGTCGACACAATATTCTCAGAAAACTACTGCGCATATCTCGCGACGTGTTTATAACTGAACCGCAATCGTTTGGGTCCCTCACAAACATACATCTCGACTTCCCAGACAGCAGTTTCAACTTTGAAGTCTTCACTTCGTTAACATAATGTTTTGGATTTGGAAAACGCATGTGAAATTCCTATCTCCAGCAACCAATAAATACTCCTATCCAACCAATATAAATATACTTATTGCAACACAATAATAGCGAATACTATATTCCATGAAGTATGTAGAAGGAAGAGTTTCCGACTCCATGAAGTATATATGTATATTTTTATAACCTTTTTTCAATTTTTTATTTATTTTGAAAATTTCTATAAGTTTACCAAAAAATTTTTGGCACGCCCTCTCTTATGCCCACAAACAGCACAAAACTTTCGTCTTTTTAGACGAACAAAATTTAAAGGTTTTTTTTAATGTTATTATTTTTTCCCCCAGTTTCTATCGATATTCCAGAAAATGTTGAAATTTCTCGTTTGGCCTTCCACAATATCTTAGTCGGGGAACTCGACTATATCATTCTATCTTGTTTATATAGTGATCTAGATCTAAGTCCGTTTGTCTCCATGATTATTCTTTTCTTACTATACCAACAATGTAAATACTATACCAAAATGTAAATAGGTAGTTTGGCAAAGTTAACTTAGTATGTGTTAGATAAAAAACGATTCAATGAGCCTTTAAACTTTAAATTAAACAAATAAAAAAGTACAATTAAGGGAACAAATTGCAATCTCAAGTGGGATAGGATGGGTAAAGTTTAATTTTATTGAAAATAATACAGGAAATTTATTTTCACGTTAGTTTATTTATTGACAATAAAAATGTAATTATTCACAATTATTAGTTTTCTAAATTTCTATAGATTTACTTAAAACATTTACCACGCCCACTATAACGCCCACAATTGTAAGTTATAGTTTTTAAAAATATTTTAGTTTGTTTTTGTTTTATTATTTGTCTGGTCAATTTCTATCGGTATACCAAAATCGTCCTCACTAAAAAAAATTTTTCGATTTTTTTATTTTATGTCGATATGTTAAAAAAATGTTTAAATTTCTCTTTTGCTCTCCTACTAGTTGTATTCGAGTCGATATAACGCGAGTTCACCAAGTTTTAGATACACGTTACGTTACTCAGCTTAAAAAAGCTGGGTTCACAAAAATCAAAATTTTTTAAATTGAAATGCGGAAATCGTTTGCCCAAGTTTGCGCACAAATTTGTTATTGCCCTGTTTTCGTCCTATTTTGAATATTTCAAAAAATGTCGGAAACTTTCGAATTTTTTTTTTAAATTAAAATTTTTTTTTTTTAAATATAAGACAAATATAAGTTTATATTATATATTAAAACTAAATATAATCAATAAAAAAAAGTTTGCCAAACCTTAAAAATAAATTATTTTGTTTGCCCACCTTTAATAACTTAACTTTTACATATGTATGTATGTATTTTCAGTTTTAGTATACACACAGAAGTACATAAATGGGTGTATGTGAATAGTCAGCGGTCTGTTATATTGCTTAATCAATATTTACATAAGCCTAATCATTCTATTAAAATGTATCAACAATTCTTAATCAATGATCAATTTCATGCAAAAAAAAAAACTGATTCCAGTGAAGTAGGCAGATCATAAAAAATGTGAATTGCCATCAAAACTTACTGAAAACTACTAGTTTTAAAAGTTGAGTAAACGGATTTAATTTCATAAATTTCGATTTTTCCGAAAAAAAAATAATAAACAAGATAGAATGCAATAGTCGAGTTCCTCGACTATCTAATACCCTTTACGCAGCTAGTGGAAGTGCTAACGAAAAATTTCAAAATTTTCTGGAATATCGGTAGAAATTGGGGAAAAAATAATAAAATAAAAAAAAACTTAAAAATGATTTAAGCGTGGGCGTGGCAAACAGTTTTGTTTGCAAATATATTGAAAATTGCAAAATATATAAACAAATTTAAAAATGTCACATTTTTAAAAATTGTGGGAGTGACAGAAAAAATTAAAAAATATCACAACATTTTTCAAACAAACTTTCGCTGCGTCTATGCATTTCTCTGGAAGCTGGATGCTTAATCTCAACTAGTAAGCTTTTTTAGTTCCTAAGATGGAGGCGTTCATACGCACAGACGGACGGGCAGACGGACATGGCCAGATCGACTCAGCTATTATATACTTCATATGGTTAGAAACGTTTCCTTCTGCCTGTTAAATACTTTTCAACGAATCTAGCATACACTTTTACTCTACGAATAAAGGGTATAAAAATTAAAAAGTTGCAGTTTTGTGCTGTTTGTCGACAGTTAAGTGGGAAATCGAAACTGTGAAAACGGATTCCAAATATTTTTGCACTCACATTCACATCATGATGTAAATTGTGCTATGTTTTGATGCCAGTTTCAGCAAACCAAAAAAAACAAAGCCCAGGGTCCAACACAAATCCATATAATCTTTAATTTTTACACTAACATGCCACGAAATTATGAAACTTTACATACATAAGCATCTACAAATACAATTCTTTAATGACATCGTTATTTGCCCTGCTATGTTAATAATATTATTATAATTTTAAACACAGCACTCGTCTTAAAATTTTTCCTCGTATTGAAAGCTATTGTAAAATACCTTTTCAGGTCACCTCATATAGAAACGTATTAAAAAAAGTGCTTCTAATCGAACTTCTTTTATTCAAATCTAGCAAACCTTTTACGAGCTAAGGGTTATAGGCCTTTTGAAAATGTTCCGCCAAACAGTTGTTTTATGTAATTGCAAACGGAATATGTATTGAAAAGTAATTGACCATCCAAACAAACTAGTACAATACAACCGACAATATTTTCGCACATATAAGGGACCCAGCGAACTGCGACAGCAAAAACTGAGGAACCACGAGGCATTCCAAAGCAATGCATTCGGATTTGCTGACAATTGATGCCGAGATACTCTGGCTTTTAGAACTCATGCAAATTGTCTTGTCGGTGCGGTATAAAATTGTTTCGAAATAGTTTCCGCAAGAAAACGAACATACGCACTAAACCGAATGCGATTATTGGTAAAGACAAAGTAAAGCTCATAGAAACTACAGAACGTAATGCCACTCGAGCGACTGCAAAGCAAAAAAAATCTTGCACTAGTCGGATGACCCAATAAATTAAATGGACGCATCCGCTGTGGCTGTTGCTCCCTTTGTTATAATGTCGCCCCTACCCAACTAGATTGATTATTACTAAGGGTGTATTCCATTTATCGCCTTGGACGTGTGCAACTTTTATTTTGTTATAGTGGCTGCATTCCCTTTCCCCTACGATGTTGGCGCAGATATTTCCCATATAAACCGAAATCACAGCTGCTTTTGTGCTTTACACGTTCCTATATGTCTAGTCGTTTATTTATTTTATTGTATGATTTTAATTTGATTGTGCTTTCAGGTACTGAAATGCGTTAAATAATAATGTTGGCAAGTGGATTTCCAAAATTACAAGAAAAAAAGTACTCAGGAACTTCACCAACTATAATTTTCTATATACAAAATAGCTATATACTATATACCGGTATTTTCTAATTCGATGTCTCCGTAACTCAGCATTTTAAGGTGGCAATGTTTTGAGTTATGAACATTTATCCGTATTTACAGAGTTGGTCAGGTGTATTTTCATAAAATACATAGGGAAAAAATACTTTTGACCACTCACTTTCTATTCTAAAGAGTTTCATTAAAATATATGTAGCATTTACGGCAAGTTTTAGAATGTTCCTATTACATATATAAAAGTATATACCAAGAAAGCATTTTATTACGGACTTCCTGCAGTCCCGTGCATACAAATTCTTTTTAGTTCCTATTATAAAAAACAAGATAGGGTCGGCGATGAGGCAAACCAATGTTTTCGCAATGTTTTGTCATGGGAGTTAGACATGTCTGGACTGCTGTTACACGGTAGCATAATTCCAGTGTCACCAGTGTAATTTTAGTGGAAAGTATTGATTTTTGGTTTTCCTTCTAATCGGTAACACTCAGAGTTCAATGTCCGCACAATTTACACTCCCGACTATTTTAAGTTAAAAGTCCACAAAAACTGCAGGAATAATACAGGCTGATTACTGTACAATAGCCCAAAATAGACACAAGCTAGCACAGCGCCCGCCATTTTCATTCTGGGCACCATCAACGAGAGCAACACCAGGGAACTTACAACGTCACAATTCCCTTTTTCTGACCGGTCGGTCTGAGTATTTTTGGCATGCTTCGTTGGCAGGTGTATTCGGCAAGCTTATATAGCCTTGAAGAAATTATAAATGTAAAAAAACGATTGAGAGGGTTTTTGGCAAACCATAAAAAATTTACAAGTTATATAAAAAAAGGAAATATTAAATTTTTTACAAGTGAGGGCATGACAGATTTGGGAGGTTTGTGAGGGTAGCAAAAAGTTATTTGGCAAACAAATATAAATTTACAAGATATATAATGAAAAAATATCAGAATCTTCAAAAGTGTGGCCGTGGCAGTTTTGTGCGGTTTGTGGGTGTTAGAGTGGGCGTGGCAATTTTGTAATTTTTTTTTATTGTGTTTCCAATTTCTTTCAATATGTCAAAAACCATTTGCCTACAAACCGGCCAAAATTTTGTTGAAATTTCTCGTTCGCACACCCACTAGCTGAGTTACGGGTATCTGATAGTGGAGGAACTAGACTTTCAACTTTTGTCAACTTTAGAACGTAGTGGGCATAACAATTATCTATTGAGTTTACAATGCAAAACTAAGACACAAAGTATTACATTTAGCTGGATCAGAAGAAATCGTTATAAACAACCAAAAAGTTGCCTAATTGAATAAGACGGCATATGTTTAAAATTCACATTAACTTCTGAGAGTGTTCTACTTAACACTACTATAAAAAATATTTTTCGCGAGTCAGAGTTTTTCTGTGATGACACTGTAAATGATCGTAAGGCTTACATAACATTATGTTATGCCATTATGTTTGCGTGGAAACCACTGCTATACAGAATATATGTACATACATACATATGTATCCTGTTGATCAGAATCACTATCCGAGTCTCTTTGTCCGTGCCTTTGAACGGTTTGATTTCGAAAACTATAAAAGCTAGAAAGTTGAGACTAAGCTTGCAGATTCTAGCAACGTAAGATTGTGTCAAAACTAAATAAAACTAAAACTACTAAACTTACTAAAAAACTTACTAAAACTAAAAACTTACTAAAAATGTAATTTGTTTGACTTTTTTTACCAGTCGTCGTGCCAATTTCTATCGATATGCCAAAAACATTTTGACCTCGCCCACTAAATGTTTTCCTTTTTTGTATTATAATTTGTAGTGGTACGCCAAAGAAAGGCTGCTCGCGCCCACCCTAATGCCCAAAATCCGTCCAAAACCGTAATTTTAGTTCTCATTTTAATACTAATTGATAAGAAAAACCAAATTGGCTACACCAAAAATCAGACGAGAACGTGGATTTTTGAGAAACCAGAGCAGAGAACAGAACGAGCAGCATGTACAGATAAATTACATATTAGCGACATCACGGATTGCACCCATTTTGTCAACACATGTACAGTGAGAAAATCAAAATATATTAGTATGTGTCTGGTTGTGTAGCGGACACATGAACATATAAATTTATATTTAATATCATGAGTAATAAGTGACGCGCATTGTTTTGTACTTGTAAATTGCTTGGACAAGATAAAAAGCAGAAACTTTTACTCCATATTTACTTGGAAAATTCCGATGATTCAAATGGCAGACTGCAATTTTTTGCAATCTATACGTATATTTTTATTGTAAATAATATACGTATTTTTCCTACTAACGGCACTCACAATAAGATAAGATAACACTTTTATCTGCTAGCTTATAGCTTTTTCATATCAGCTAACTTATTTAGTACACAGGCCAGCGAATATAAACCAAAGGTTATTATTAAATATTAATATTAGATTATTTTGCAGCAAAACACTTGGAATTTACACACTAGTTTTCAACACAACAGAAGCTGCGTGCTACAATATATTTTTCATTCCACTTTTTGTATGTGTGATTCATAAAATTGTTGGCACTCGAGTAATGAAAAGAATGCGAAAGAAAAGAGTAAAGAAATTAATATTCAGGTTCAGTTTAAAAGGCCGCGCACTCCGACGATTCCGTATCCGTCACCTCGACATATTGCGAGGGCTCTCAGACTGAGACTGCGAGAGTATTGCCTGCACCGAGGGCAGAGCAGAATGGCACACAGCTCACTGGCAAACGCTCACAACAAGTGGCTCTAAGAGCATAAAAGAGCGCGATTGGCGTACTCTTCGTTTAACAAACATTTCTCGCATACAACAGCACATTTTATAAACGTAAAATCTCTTAACCAGGGGTGCCACAAAAATTACCAGTAAAATAGGAGAATTTTTAGAAAGGATTCGCTTCCACTTTTATAAGATATAAGTTTCAGAAAAAAATGTGCGCGAAAAGATACCGAGATCTCGGAAACTATAAATACTAGAAAGTTGAGATTAGACAAAAAGATTCTAGTGACGCCTACGCTGTGCAAGCTTGTGTCATAACGCCCATTTCGTAACTTTTACAATCTGTCAAAACGCAAACGCCCAAACGTTAAAAAAAATGATTAATTTTTATTCGGTCCAATACTTGTACACCCTTTACTCGTAGAGTACGGCAGTAAGGCAGACAGAAACATTTCCGACCATATAAAGTATATACATTCTTGATCAGGATCAATAGTCGAGTCGATCTGGTCATGTCCGTCTGTCCATATGAACGCCTCGATCTCAGGAAAAGCTAAAAGCTTGAAAGCTAGCTTGAAATTAAGCATGCAGCTTTGTTTCCTAATGTTGCCACGCCCACAAAACGCACAAAACTGTCACGGCTACACCTTTGAAAAATGGGATATTTTTTCATTTTTATATATATTTTGGAAATTTCTATCATTTTTCCAAACAACTTTTTACCATGCGCACAAACCGCCTAAAACTGTCACGCCCAGTCTTCTGAAAAATACTGTGATATTTTTTTAAGTGAACTCTCAATGTTTTTGATTTAAGCCGATGCAGAACACGGTGGTTTGGGATTAAAGCAAAATTGGAGCGAAAGGTTTTTTAATGGCACCCCTCATAATCAGGTAAGTGAAATAGATAATATTATTGTTTTTATACCATATTGATGCTCTAGTTGTTAGTTGACATGGAATGAAGTAATTGTCCTTTATCCGGCTTCCAGTTTTGCATTTTTATCCAAAATGAACCTAAAACACGTTGGCAGTAAGTGAAGCTATTTGCAGCTGCCTCAGTCTGCACTTGTTGTCCTGCTTCCCGCTAGCTATACACATATATGTACATACATACACATAGCTGGCTTTAATTAGTTTTTTTAAGCCATTGTTTGGTTTTAGTAGTATAGATAAAGAAGTTGAAAATTGTGAAGGAGTTCAGGCCTTGTTTGAAGAGAAAATTAATAAGAGAAACTCAAAAAGAGAGAGTCTTTAGGGAGACAAATAACAAAAACAAAGAACGAATACTGTTAAAAAAACGGGCAGTCTCAAAACAAATGGCGGATGCTCATTAAAATGCTCTGCTTGTATGTGCTTTTTCCCAGCTTGTATATTTGAGCAAAATAGCAACGCACGAGCGCGATTTGCGTGAAAACATATATAGTATATGTACAACAAGATAGTATGCTATAGTCGAGTCGACTATCAGATACCCGGTAGACTCAGCTAGTGCGTGAGCGTAATCTACGAGTAACGGGTATATTAATAACAATACAAAGAAATGTAATTTTTATTGATTTCAGTAAAAAGTTTGCTACGCCGTGAAGGAGACATTTGCATTTGTATCGTTCCGAAATTTCTTCGCACAAAACCACACATTCTTCGCACAAAAACGACACATTTCAAGTATTGCAAAAAGATCATTGTAATCCATTAGTTTTAAGCCTTCAATTATAAATATACTACAAATCCTAAGAGACATACAACCAGATTTTATACCCGTTACTCGTGGAGTAAAAAACAAGAGAGAATGCTTTAGTTGAGTTTCCGGGTTTCAGATAGACATATTAAGATAAAAATATATTATGAATAATTATTTTATAAATATTATATTCTTTGTCTTATACGTGTAAGCTCTTTGGTTGGAAATACAAAATATCTCTATATACATACACCATACGTCTATCTACATTGATGTAAAAACCTTAAAATATTTTTTCCTTTCCGTTTGGATTTTCGCATCGTCAGCCGACGTAAACTACAAAGCACCAAAAAACTTGACCCAACTTAACCCGAATTGTTCGTTTAATTGCCAGTAAAATAAATCGGATATTCAGAACAGAATAAATAGGAAGGTCCTCAGTAATTTTTCCGCTACGGTAAAAACCATAATTATTTCAGGTAGTCGGGGAACAGCAGATTGAAAGGTAAGGGACAAAGTGTCAAATGGATATCTAGGTAGAAATAAAATCAAATAGTGTAGCAACGGAAATTTGGTGGAATCAGCAACAATATTTTGTGTATTACTTTGTACGTTATGGATTTGTAATTTTATATTAATTTGTACGTTAACAACACATTATCCCAGCAATAATAAAAGCAATATAGTTTAACATCATTAAGGAACATCCATTTTTAACGTTATCAATAACATTAAGCGGGTTAGCCAGCACTCGCTCTAGTGAAATTGTAACCTTTTTAACAATTTAAGCAAACGTTTATTTTTATAATTAATAAATTAATTACAAGTATCGTAACACAAATGTTGTATATGACTTAGTGTAAATACACTCACCTTTGCATTAAGTTTTTTCACAATCTTACGATACAATACTTTGTACATATCACTGCAGTAACAAAAATAATATCTGTTTATAAAACAATAAATAAAAATGAATTCACTTTAGATCACGATTCTTGGATCAGACCCGAGGGACAATATTCACAGCACGCGACAACTCTTCAATTCGCTAGACGTTTGTTGGAGAGGTGTATGATGCAGTTGTCTTACTCCGGCGAACCGTCATTAATGAATAAGAGGTAATCGCGCAGACCAACGCGCCATATGAGTTACAGGAGCGAAGACTTGTATATTTCAAGGTACTCGGCCATATGAGTGAATTCCAGAGGGTCAGTATACAAGGATTGTTTGTTTCGACTGTTTCGACAATGTGTGGACATTGTGAGTTTCTTTAAATTTCTATCGTACAGCTCTGCAAGTTATATACAGTATTTTTGAAAAATTGAAATTCAGTAGATTTGGTAATTGAAATTTTATTTCTTGACAAAACTTTCAATATATGTACTAATAAAATTGTCACTGCTGTCCAAAGGCAAGTTATTTGTTATGGGTCTGGTGTGGGATAATATCATCCACAAAAAATATAAAAAATTCTTGTTAAAAATTAATGACTTCAATTTTTCAAATGCTTGTTTTTTCGATTTTCCTAATTTGTTATCTGTAAATCAGGTTAGCATGAGAAACTCTAGATCAATCACTTTTGGAAAATCTTACTAGTTAATCGGGAAAACAGCTATACATTTCCTATACTCATAACACTTCTGGGACTTGTGATATATGTCATTGAAAATCCACTTCCAACTGCTATATGTGCTCTTCAATGGATATTTGGCGGATTTTTTTCAAAATGAGACCATGTCGTAATTCCCTTAAGCTTATAATATCCGTATTTTAGATATACAACAACGCACGCTTAAGTTATTAGACAACTAAAACAACTCTTTCACAAATTCAGAACAACTAACGCTTACTAAATCTTGTACATACATATAAGCGTATCCAAACGGAACCTTTAAATTATGCAAAATATCTCGATATAAGAATCTTAAGTTAAAGTGAAAGAGTATACTAGTCACGATCGCACCTTCAACTTAAATTATCTGAAACTTCCAAAAGCCGCCGGATTACAAATTTTTAAAACACAACCAGGTCTAGTAGAAAAATAGCTAAACTGGCATCTCTTGGGAGTATTCTTAATATGTATACATACGATGCATGTAAATGTAATGAATGTGAATATATGAATGTAAATATATCTGCATATGCAGATAAAGAACGCAGCAGTTTCACAATTCGTCACTACTCAAAAACATCAATATCGGCGGCTACGTCAGCAGAGCCGACTGCTTCGAACGCGCTCTCAACGACTCTCTTGCACACTTTCTCTCCTAAACATTTATTGTGATGAAAAAGCAATGAACACAAGGAAAAGTGATAATATTAGAGAGAGAGACATTCGGCATTTAAAGCTGTTTTACTTGGGATGACTTGCCAGTCCTTAAAAAGAAACAAAACAGAAAGGACAACAAGAATCCCACCACCACGAAATTGTATTTTTTATACTCAGGAAAATTGACAATAAAAAATGGATAATTTTGTCATGTTTTTTTTAAAGTTCCATTGTATAATGGAGCTACAGGGAAGCTACAAGTGTATAAGATTATACACTTTTAAATCGACCTTTCCTAAGTGTTACATTTATATATATGTATGTATATTTATAAATATATAATATAACTTACCTGTATTTCTAGTAAAAGTTCCTGCTTCTTGCGGCGCAGCTCAATCAGAAGTTTTTGCTGCTCCTGTGTAAGTTCTGCAAGAACGTGAGGCAAATCAATTTATAAATTCAGCTATTTTGTAAATAGTAACGTAGCAACAGTAAAAAGCGAAAAAAAAGTAGAACAGCATTCCATGCAGACGCACCTAAAGACAGCATCTTGTGGGCTACGTCACAAGCTAAAGTCAATAAACAATTTACGTTTGTTGCTTATTTCCCTTAATTAAGAAAACCCCAATGGATTGCTAATTGTGCACATTGTATTATTAGCGTTACCAAAGCTCTTCGGACTAAATTACACTGAAGGCCATAAAATTAAGACACATACACTGACACTGCACCTAGCACACGTACGAATATGGCTTGTTGCTTCTCTTATTCTTTAGTTGTGGGTATCCTCATTTGTGAACAAAATGTGAAAACAAATTAGCATCAATCCTCCGGGGAAGCTAAAATATCTGCTGTTTACCTGGCATTGAGAATTCACTGCGCCCCTTTGAAATGGCACCGTACGATCTGTTGTCGAAATTGTCCATTGCGCTAATCATCGCGGAGCTACTGAGCTACTACACACACTCGCGCGCACGACACACACTCTAGTTATACATTTTTCACCAGCAGTTGGCTAATTATGAGGGCTTTTCATTGAGCAGTCTTAGACGAGCGGATAATAAACAAATCAACACCTAAAAAATTCTATCGCCATTTTCTTTCAGCTCTCCACTAGAGATGTGCGGAATTTAACTATCGGTTTTGTAAAACAGAATACTGCTGAAAAGTATCAAGTGCATACTGACTTAAGCTGAGTGCTACGCGAGCTCAGTGTGGCAACTTTAAAAAAAACCTGATTGCAGCACTGCATCTTTCACGTTTTACCTTACCCAAAAAGTGTTATTCATTTGCTTGCAACGAGACTTTAAAAATAGGCTATTTTTTTAAGCTTAGAAAAAATTATCTGCGAATTAATCAAAAATATAATATTTTTATTAAAAAAAATTAGATAGATTAGATAAAATCTACAAATATCACCAATGCCTACTGCCTATTTAAAGCCGTAAAAAAAATTCATTGGACGAATTCGTTTTTGATCATAGCTTCATTCAAAATATCGTCAAGGAAATACAAACTTACACATCATTTGGTTTGTTTAACGGCACAATATTTGTGGACTTGGTGGCAACGCTGCCAACATATGTGTGCACTAGCATCGATAATTTTTTACATCCCTATTTTGAACCGCAGAATTCTAGAAAATTCCACTTGCTGTCCATAGGAATAGTCGGAGTTAGTTAAAGCAAAGACTGCCGCATTAAAATTCCTCCCACATCTTCCAGCTTTTCATACAATTGAAGACAGTTAACAGTAAGAAAGCGATGGCCAAGTGGGGAGAAGGAGATCCGCGCTGGATTGTGGAAGAGCGGCCCGACGCCACCAACGTGAACAACTGGCACTGGACGGAAAAGAACGCCACGCCATGGTCCAAGGACCGCCTACATCAGCTTTTTCAGGGTTTCAAAATAGGCAAGTGTATAAGAATTTGTCGTAGTAAAACATATCTACATCCTAACCTAAAACTTCCCAAAACTTCCCAAAACGCAGGGCACAGCGACATTGAGTGCGCCGTAGACTCCGTGGACAAGTGCTCCGGGGAGGCCACCGTGAACAATCGCAAGGGCAAGCTCATATTTTTCTACGAGTGGGAGCTGGTGCTAAAGTGGTCAGGAAAGCTCCTCAAGAACAGCGAGCTGAGCCACAAGGGCAAGTTGACCATTCCCAATCTCTCCGAGGAGAACGAACTAGCGGACGTGGAGATCACGGTCACAATCGATGAGTCCAACGACGAGTCGGAGACCCTGAAACAGTTCATGTACAACGTGGGACGAGACCGCGTGCGGCAGCAGCTGGCCTCATACATCCGCGAGTTAAAGGAAGAGTACTCCAAGAACCTGATCCTACCAAAGAAGGGCGACGATGCCGGAGCGGGAAATCCTGTTGCGAATTTGAAGGATGCCAACAATACCCGTAATGCAGGCCAAAATATTGCCTCGAACACCTCGGTGGCGGCTCCTAGAGTCAACATCTCTGGCATCGGCTGTAAGCTGGACGTTCGCACTCTTTCAATGACCGAGGAATTCCACTGCAGCGCCAACGACCTTTACAACGCTCTAACAAAGCCGGAGATGGTCACCGCCTTTACGAGGGCCCCTGCCAAAGTCGATGCCGTGCGCGGTGGCGAGTGAGTTTCTGCATGTCCCTGGACCCTCTTTAATTTCACCATCTCATTCATTATCGCGCAATGCTAATTACCCTTCTACTCATTTTTCTTTTATGGTAATTATATTTTTGGCTTCTATTGCAGATTCATTCTTTACGGAGGCAATGTGCTGGGAAAATTCGAAGAGCTTGTCCCGGAAAAAAAAATACAGCAAAGCTGGCGTCTGAAAAACTGGTCATCTGGTCATTACTCAAACGTGATCATCGAGCTAGAAGAAACTGTAAGTTACCAGGACAACGGACAGTAAATTTATTACTTCAGCCGTAATAGGGTGTTAAATGTTCTGAATGTCGTCCACTTCAACAGAACCTACATGCTTAATCCCAACTTTCTAGATTTTATATTTTCTGAAATCACAGTGTTCATACGGACAGACAGACGGACGGACATGAGGGCATAGACATATCGACTCGCTTAGTGAGTAGAAAATTAATCAACTAAAGTTTTCAAATAAATCAAAATTATAGGCCCGTTAGGGATATCGTCCTATACCTGTTATTTATCGACAAAAAGGGAGTACTAAATTCGTTCACAAGGCCCTACTCATCTATATCTGTCTCTTTTTTGAAATATTTTCATAGTACACCCATTAGCTGAGTACCGGGTATCTGATAGCGACCTAAATCTCCTATAGCGTGCTCTCATGCTTTTTTGTATTATTTTTGCTATTTTTAAACGCTAATAACATATAAGCAGATTCTTGGATTGTAAATTGTTTAATCCCATAAAATGTAAGCTTTCAAATACTATTGTGCCATTAATTTTAGGATTTGTTTTGTTTTAAAAATCGTATAGAAATTCAAACGATTCGTTTATACGTGATTTATGAGCACTCGATTTTACAAAAATCCAAATGAAATAAATATCCAATGAATCCAAAATATGCATTAAGAAGCTTAAATGTTATACATATTCTAGGTTCTCAAAATTTTACTGACCTAGAATCCCAAGATTGGCTACAATTTCAGTTTAAAAACCCTTTTTTTTTTTAACTTTGAAGTCTCCTGTTCTGGCTTCAGCTTCATTTTGTGGGAATAATGTTTTACGTGCTATCACAAAAAATGTTTGTAATCGAATAACTCCACATACCGGGCTTTCTTCTTGCAGTCATCCAGCACAATGATGTCGCTTAAGCAGACCGGGATCCCAGCGCCCGAATATGATGGGATGAAGACAAACTGGTACCGATACTACTGGCATAGCATTAAACAGACCTTTGGATTCGGTACTTCAATATCTGATGCCTTATAAGAGGACGCTTTTAGTGCGGGTTGCACTGAATGATTGAGGTCTCGGTGGATGTCGGATCATCAAAGAATGTGTATTTGTATTTACTAGAGTACTGCGAGAACTTTACTTCCTATCATAATGCTTTATAAAGATAGAACTGGAAAGTCAGCGGCTCGCTTGGAGAACCACATTACTTACATAAAATCAAATACAATTCAGGCATTCGACATTGATTTCACACATAGACAAACAATAAAAAAAAAATTTAAAACAAAATTTTTATAATTTTGGATTCTATATTACTAATAAATTTGTTAAATTTTAAAGGATAAAAATAGCTTAAAAGGCATGCGATTTAAATAGATCTATATATATTATCGATTTCCACACAATTAGGTGGTAAAATTGGCTCACAATAGTTCTGTGACTGCAAAAAAGGCCACATAATAAAAGCGTTTTCCAATTATAGAAAACAATGAAGCAGACATATATATTTTTGATCAGGTTCACTAGTTGAGTCAATTTGTTCATGTCCGTCTGTCTTGAAAACTATAAAAGCTTGAATTCATTCATTCATAATCAGCGACAATCAAACATCCCAAGTTTGTTTTAGATAATTGTCATACCAACTAACGTATACAAACCGTTACTAATAGAGTAAAAGGGTACTAGATTCGCGGTAACAGGTAGAACGTAGCGTTTCCGACAATATAAAGTATATATATTATTGCTCAGGATCACTAACCGAGTCGATTTGATCGTTACTCGTAGAGTAAAAGGGTATACTAGATCCGTTGAACAGTATGTAACAGGCAGAATAAAGCGTTTCCGACCATATTTCGGATCTTTATCAGGATCAATAGCGGAGTCTTTCTGGCCATGCCCGTCAGTCCGTTCGTCTGTTTGTCCGTCGAACTAAACTAAAGATCTCTAAGATCTCAGGAACTATAAAAGCTAGATCATATTGGGCATGCAGATTCCAGAGACATACATACATGCACTGCAAGTTTGTTAAATGATGTTGCCTTGGCCAATCTAAAGTCCACGCCCACACTTTCAAAAATTGTTTTGATTTATAAAATTTTTTTATTAATCTTTAAAATTTCTTTCGATTTGCAAAAAAAAACTTTCACTCTAACGCCCACAAATCCCCCAAAACTGTCACGCCCACACTTGAATTTTTTTTAATGTTTTTATCATTTTATTTTCTTTTTCCTTAATTTCTACCGATATTCCAGATAGTATTGAAATTTCTTAATTTTTGTTAGTTCTGTAAATTTCTATCGATTTGCCCAAAAACTTTTTGCAGCCGCCACTCTGGAACATCGGTGGAAATTGGGAAAAAAAATAAATGTAACAAGATAGAATGCTATAGTCGAGTTCCCCGACTATCAGATACCCGTTACTCAGCTAGTGGAAGTGCTAACGAGAAATTTCAAACATTTTTTGAATATCGGTAGAAATTGGGGAAAAAATAATAAAATGAAAAAAAAACGTAACAATTTTTTAAAAGTGTGGGCGTAAGAGTTTTGTGCGATTTGTGGGCATTGGAGTAGGCGTGGAAAAAAGTTTTTTGGCAAATCTATTGAAATTTACAATATATATGAAAAAATATCACATATTTCAAAATTGTGAGCGTGACATTTTTTGGCGGTTTGTGGGCGTTAGAGTGGGCGTGGAAACATTTGGAAATAAACTTGCGCTGCGTTTGCCTCTGGATGACAACATGACAAGATAATGATATGACAATAAACAAAAATTTAAAACAAAATTGTTATAATTAATATTTATTCTAATTTTATTAGATAAAAATCTAACGAACTATAAAGTTGTCAAAAGAACAATTGCAAAATGACTATTTTTTTGCATCGCTGTTTTTCGTAAAGCGTTTTAATTTGGACTACACTAGTTATTTGATATTTTCTCATTTCGGACTTCATTTAATAAAAAACGAAGGACTATATAATAAAGCTGTCGTAGGATCAGTCGGCAAAATAATGGATAAAACTAGAATCATATGTTTCTTTTGACTATAATGTGTTCCAATTTAGTCGGAAAATCTCTGGGAAATAAATATTTCCTAATAGTACATTAGATAAGTAACGGATATCTGATAAACGAGTAAACCGCCTATAGAGTGTTGTCATGGTTTTTATACCCGTTACTCGTAGAGTGAAAGGGTATACTAGATTCGTTGAAAAGTAACAAGCAAAATGAAGTGTTTCCGACTATATAAAGTATATATATTCTTGATCAGGATAAAAAGCCGAGTTGAACTGATCATGTCCGTACGTATGAACGCCTCGATCTTAGGAATTATAAAAGCTATAAAAGCTAGAATATTGAGATGAAGCTTGTAGCTTCCAGAGACATAGACGCATCGCAAGTTTGTTTCCAAATGTTGCCACTCGTACTCTAACACCCACAAAGGAGGCAAAATTACCACACCCACACTTTTGAAACATGTTTTGATATTATTTCATTATACCTTTTCATTAAAACTTTTTGCCACCCCCACTCTTATGCCCACACACCATACACACCGCTCAAAACTGCCACGCCCACAATTTTGTAAAGAGGTTTTGATATTTTTTATTAGTCGTGTAAAGTTATATTGATTTGCCAAAAAACTGGAACACAACAACGAACACGAACATAAGTCTTGTAAGTTTCTATCGATTTGAAACGCCCACTCTTCCGCCGCAAACTGCGAATTTTGAATTTTTTTTACGCAATTTGTATCGGTATTGTAGAAAGTGTTGAAATTTCTCGTTTGCACTTCCATTAGCTGAGTACCGGGTATCCGATAGTCGGGGAACTTGACTACATCATTCTATCTTGTTTTATTTTAAAAATCATATAAGATTAAAATGAAGACGTATATATGACGTATTCATGATTTATAGGCTCTCTATTTTTTTGCAAATATCTCTGAAAAAATCCAAAAATTAATCCAAAATATGCATTAAAAAGATTAAATGTTATACATACCCTAGGTTCTCAAAATTTTACTGACCTAGAATCCCAAGATTGGCTACAATTTCAGTTTAAAAACCCTTTTTTTTTAACTTTGAAGTCTCCTGTTCTGGCTTCAGCTTCATTTTGTGGGAATAATGTTTTACGTGCTATCACAAAAAATGTTTGTAATCGAATAACTCCACATACCGGGCTTTCTTCTTGCAGTCATCCAGCACAATGATGTCGCTTAAGCAGACCGGGATCCCAGCGCCCGAATATGATGGGATGAAGACAAACTGGTACCGATACTACTGGCATAGCATTAAACAGACCTTTGGATTCGGTACTTCAATATCTGATGCCTTATAAGAGGACGCTTTTAGTGCGGGTTGCACTGAATGATTGAGGTCTCGGTGGATGTCGGATCATCAAAGAATGTGTATTTGTATTTACTAGAGTACTGCGAGAACTTTACTTCCTATCATAATGCTTTATAACGATAGAACTGGAAAGTCAGCGGCTCGCTTGGAGAACCACATTACTTACATAAAATCAAATACAATTCAGGCATTCGACATTGATTTCACACATAGACAAACGATAAAAAAAATTTAAATCAAATTTTTTATAATTTTGGATTGTATATACTATTAAATTTGTTAAATTTTAAAAGATAAAAATAGCTTTAAAATCATGAAATTGAAAAAGATCTATATATAGTATCGATTTCCATACAATTTCGTACTCGAAAAGGGTAAGCATAGGTGGTCCTGATTATTAAAGGATGAAATTTGCTCAAAATAGCTCGGGGACTGCAAATCTTCAAAAGGCCACATCATTCATATAGAGAAATATATATTTTTGATCAGGTTCACTAGTAGAGCCAATTTGTCTGTCTGTCTTAAAATTATAAAGGCTTGAATGTTAAGAATAAGTGACAATCACACAGCCCAAGGTTGTTTCAGGTAATTGTAATGTTAACTAATATTGTCACGCCCATACTTATACAAAATGTTTTGATATTTGTACATTTTTTTATTAGTCTTGTAAATTTCTATTGATTTCCCAAAAAACTTTTTGCAATTTGAAATTTCTCGTTCGCACTTCCACTAGCTGATTAACGGGTATCTGATAGTCAGGGAACTCGACTATTGCATGCTCTCTTGTTTTTTTTATTAAATTATTATAAAATTATAAAACATTTCGGTGGCTTGATCAATATTTGTTCGAACACGGTTTTATTGCTATTGAATTAAATGATGCCATTATAATATGAATTACTCGTAGATTAAAACAAAGGGCAATAATCTATCTATATATATTCCAATGTCTGTGATAGCAGGGTAAATGAGATTCGTTAGGTTTAGGTTGAAGTAAGCGTCTTATCATAACGCCAAAGGGCCATGTCACTTTTCTTCTGGGAGTTATGACACAATGAAATGTATCATAATCACAAGATTTCTGTGATTTTTTTCAACATGAATATATTAATCTATTGTTTTTTATTTTTCAAACGAATATTTCAGTATCAACATCAATTAATATTTTAGGTTAAGGAAAGGATACCGTGCACAGATACTAGGTTGTAAACTTAAAACTAGGTTTCTAAGCTGATTAGTTGATCAGAACGTTGATAGAATGAATGTATTCTTTTTTAAATTTATAAAAAAATAATATTTCGGTAAAGTGTTCCCTGAAATATTTTCTCAACCAGCTTTGTGGGTCTCCAAGTGGTACTGGTACTCTTTGTAGCTGTTGCTCTTGAATATTTCGCTGGCTGCCTCATCGGAGCACTTAACGCACTGGTAAATGAACATTCCAGGATGCTTTCCCGTCTTGATGATGTGCTTACGTAGGTTATCTATGGTGCTGCACTGGAAGTCGCAGTGGGGGCATTGGTGGGGCTTCTGGCCCGAATGGCGCAACGAATGCCGACGGAGGTGACCCTTGATGCGGGCTCTGAAATCGCATTGATCGCACGAAAACCACTCCTCACCACTCTTCTCCTTGGAATGAGCCGACTTGAGGTGCCTGCGGAAAAACAGAAGGGAAACTTGAGCGAAGCCATATTTAAAATCTTAACGCTTGATTAGGCAGTAAATTCCAGTGGCGGCTTGTCCCGCCATCGCAGTCAGAACTAATTGCTTATTTCGTATTCGAATCACACACTCGAAATCAAAATACGAGTAAGTCGGCAATTGCCAATTGTCTTTCGACTTAAGAAGGAGAAACAGAGGACTCAGCCAATCCGGTTGTCTTAGATGGTGATCAGTTTTTCGGTTAGAAGGGGAAACCTATATTGGCCAATCGAGCGGCTTGGCCAGGACGACTAGCCAAAGAGCTACATCTTAGAGGTCATTCATTATTGCGAAATGAAAGAGTTAAAAAAAGTACAAAACCACGTCTAATATCACTGAAAAACGTTATTTAAAATTAGGAAAGTATATGTTAAATAACATTTGTTAACGGTTTCAAATTGAAATAATAATATTATTTTCCTTTGATGATTATCCGGATAGTGATGTACCAATAAGCTCCACAAGGAAAAGAGAGGTATCCGCACTCACACGACTTTAGTTACGCGTCTTCAATTATGCCCAGTACTTCTGTAGCTGTTTCCCCAGAAGCCAACTAAAGGAGCGTCCTTGCAAATGTGTGTGTTGGAAGTCCACTCCACTTATCAGCCACAGTCCAGACCAAGGACTCACAATTAATTGCCAATGTTTTTGTGGGCTCGGGCTGCTGGAATCGGAATCTGTGTGAAATCTCAAGCTTCGGCTGAATAAACTGAAGTCTAAAGCCCAAGACCAAACGAAACAGATGAACGCGACTCATGCGCGACTCGGTAGGCTTAATTAGCGGCGAGTAATGGAGTTTGAAGATCGCTCCGCCAGTTGTAGGAGGCTTCCACCGTCATCCGTCCTCATCCTCCCTATACCTCTGTCGAAATTCGAAATTCGACAAAGCCGCGAAAGGCGGCTTGCAAATCCAGGACGGGACTGCCGACCGATCGCCTTTTTGGTTTCGTTTGGAAATTCCTGGATTACCAACGCTGTCTTTTGATAGCTAATTGAAGATCTCGGATGTGAGTTAAGCACATCACAACAGTTTTCTGTCTCAGAGCCTGGATTCTTGGGCAAGATTTATGCAAGACCCGATTTTCGGCGGCGGAGAACTTCGTATACAAGTTACTTGTAGAGTAAATGGGTATATAGAGTGGATGAAAAGTATGTGTAAAATATATGTATATATATTTTTTTGATCAGGATCTCTAGACGAGTCGATCTGGGCATGCCCATCTGTCCGCCCGTCTGTCTGTTCGTATGAACGCCCAAGACTATCACTCCCACACTTTTGAAAAATGTTCAAATTTTCTTTGTTTATTTGTCTTGCCAATTTCTTGATATGCCAAAAACATTTTGGTCACGCCCACTCCTACGCTCATAAACCGTCCAAAACTCTCATACCCACACTTGATAACATTTTGTTTATCATTCATTTTATTATTTGTCTTGCTACTTTCTATCGATACATTTGGGCCATACCCATAAACCGCCCAAAACTGTCGCGACCACACTTATAAATTTCTTTTAAGTTTTTAAAAAAATGTTTTTTTCCCCCGAATTTCTTCCGCTCATACAGAAATGTTAATATTTCGCGTTCGCTCTTCCACTAGCTGAGTAACGGGTATCTGATAGTCGGGGAACTCGACTATATTGCTCTCTTGCTTATTATTTTTTTTTTCAAATTTGTTTTGCTACGCAAAGAAAATAAAATGTTAAATATCCTCCTAGGACGCCCACTAGCTGTGTATCGGGTTTCTGATAGTCAAGGTAACCGACTATAGCGACACCAGCTGAGTTAGTGATAGTGAACAAGAAATTGTTGCTCGTTACTCGTAGAGCAAGACGGTATACTAGTAGGAAGCGTTTCCGACTATATAAAATCAGGATCAACAGCCGACTCGATCTGGCCATGGCCGTCATTGTCCCCATCAAATCGATCCGAAGACCAATGAGGGCCACCCGCCTCATCTTTGTCTCTGTCCAAGCCTCTGAGGCGGCCAACTGAACAGTGGATTGTAGGGAAGGAACTGCGACTTTGGCTACCTTAACACACCCGCTTCCCTGCCAAGTGGATCTGCCTTCTTAATGTTTTCATCAATGTATGCTATTGCTGTTCAAAGTCCGCAGTTATGGATGACATTCTTGCGCTTTCTTCATCGGACTCCTTTTTGTACAAGAAATGTAAATCGGGTGGAAAAGGTCGCTCATTTATTTTGATACCTGCAATTCCGCCTAAATTACCCTTGCTTTGTCGGAACGCTCCAAAAAAACGTTAACAAAAATTAAATTCTTGAAATATGTGCCACGTTTTGAATGTGGTACCTGTATGCCAAATCGATTGATTTTGGAAACCAATCACTCACCTCTTCAGGTGCAGCTCGCTCTTCCCCACATAACTGCAGTTGTCCCGGGCACATTTGTGTTCTTCCTGGGAGTGGGAGACCAAGTGGGTTTTCAGTCTTTCCGGGGTTCGCCCTGCATACGAGCAGTCCGTAAAATGGCAGCGGTAGTGGCGCTGAACTGCCGTCGAATGGCTAATCTCATGAAGCTTCAGGGAATACCTGGAAAGTTTGAAATGCAGATTAAGGACCAAATCGCTTTAATTCAGGCCGTGAGCAGTAGTCTGTCAGATTTTCAAGCCCCATACCCATACCCATACCCGAACCGGAAATTTTTTAATTACATTAAATCACGGCAAAGTAATTCGCACCAAAGTCACGTTTTATGGACGGCAAAGACACAAGGCACGTTCGTATCCAAATCCAAACCCACCCAAACGAGTTCCATGCCATGTCCACGATTGTCCAGCTGCAGCTAAGTCAAAAGGATCCGCAAAACAAAAATGCAAATTTTCGCAGGCAAAAGTTTCTACACATCAATTACGCCTAATTAATCGAAACAGCTGAGGGCAGTCCTGGTTCCCAGAGAGCACTTGGTAATGGAGCAGCACCAGCATCTTTTTGGACATTTGAAGTGGCTGTGCCACAGATTTGGTGGTTACGTTCATGAAAAGCTTGCAAACCTAAAGCTAATGTATGGACGTGCTTTAGAATCGCCAGTTTTAGCTCTTATAAAAATATTGAAACGAATTTTTGTAAATGTGTTGCCTATTCGTATGCAAGAAGAAAAGATTTCTCTTAATAACGCGCGACATTAACAAAGTTTCAATCTTCAATCTAAGCTCTTGTTTCGAGACAAAAACCGAGCTACGGATTTTAGAGTGGGCGGTATTAAGGGCTGTGCGCGTGTACATCCCCTTGCATGGGGAGGGACAACATTGTCATGCATTTGTAATGATGCCATCGCGAGTTCGAGAGGAGGGAAAGACAGGGGCGTCGTTGATATGTGAAATGTCACTTTGTATGGAGTTTGAATAGCAACGACAATGACAACGACTCTGGCACAACAGAATGACAAGGGGCAGAGCTGTGGAGCTCGGTTGGCAAGTTGCAGGGGATGTCGGCTGGTGGGAGGCCGCAGCTCCTTGAAGGTGGTGCCAGACTTGACAAAAGGATGCCATTTTACCTGCACAGTTTGCCGTAAATTGTTCTTGTTTCTGTTGCTGCTGCTGCAGGGATAATGGGAGCAGAAACACGAAATCGGGGGGGAGTAGCCCCAACATAATGCTGAACGAACAAAATTATCTTTTGCTGGGTTCGTTTTCCAGCTTCCATTTGTATTTTCACCTCCGACATTAACTTTTATTTCCTCAAATGCATTTCGCAGACTTCGTCTTCTCGGGAAGTTCTTGAGTTTCCCTAGCCATAACCGTCTGTCTCCTTAATACGTGTGTCCGCCCAGAGAAAAGGAAATACATGTTCTCGGGTCCAGACCGTGCCACATTACGTTCTCAACTGGATTGCAGCATTTGAATTAGCTCATTGTTCTCGAAACAATTCAATTATAGCTTGCACCGCACATCACGCGATCAGCGCAGCGGAAAGCAACAAATCTGTATTTATGTAGTATAAGTACCCGAATATCGCCGTCTTCCATCCAACAAAACAAGAAGCATCCAAAAAATAATTTACACATTAAATGCTTGCAGTTGGGAGTGTGCATATAATGAAACTCCCTGAGGTAGGACGCCATATCCTGCGTCTTCTGGAAGTAGCTCCGTTGCCGATTAGTTGACGAAAACGTCTTGCGATGAAAACTTTGCCCTTTTCAACGCTGTTTTTCAGACATGGGACGGGATGGGCTGGGCTGGGGCTGGGGCTGGGGTGAAGCTGTCATCAACACCCCCGCCGAGTAGGAGTGGGAGTGGGAGTCGGAGCGCAGCATCTGCAAGCTAGGACAAAGCGTTGGCTCTCTCCGCGTGTTGTGTCAACTCTTGCACGCCATCCATTTCAGAGATGCTCCTGCCCACAGCGGATGCTCCTCCTGCTCTGGGCGCCAACGAAATCGCTGAGCCAACATGTCACGGGTGCGGCAGGTGCGAAATGTATCCTGCCGCTCATTGTCGGCTGCACGAAGATGCAGACTGTTCGGAGGTGGCAGGTGAAGCGCGGTGGAGCGCGGTGGAGCGCGGTGGAGCCTCAGCCCCGAGAAGGACTCCTGCCTTTGGCTGTCTCAGACAATCGCATGTGTAGTTTGGAGCAGCTGAATGTTTGCCCTGGCGCGCTCGCATTGTTGTTCCCCAAACTCGCATAAATATTTATGACAGCGTCTTTCTTGTCTTGTCTTTTGGGCGAAAACTTCTGGACCGCGGGGCGTTAGGCAAGTCAGCCCCAGCCCCCCGCAGAAGGCTTCCGGTGTCAGTCGTCAGGAAGTGGGCACACACTAGTTGTGGCGACATGGCATTTTCTACGGAAGACGAATACCGAAGGTTTAGAAAATGCTTAGTTTGTAAAACCGAAAGTTCCGTTTTCAGAATTTCACTTTTGACCAGATTAAACAAATGTGAAAAGACACGGTGTCTTAACATCATTGGGATAACTTGCTGAGATAAAACCAAACATTTTTTTCAAAGTCTTCTAGTCTCTATCAAACATGTATTGAATCCACAGCCTTTGGAGTCATGCTATACTTGGGAAATTTTCGCAAAATGATTCAAGCATCACTGGCAGGCGGCCACCCTTTCTTAGCTGTTCTCGTGTAATTGGTCGAAGGTCCTTGTCTTGCCTGTTGTCCTGGCTTCTGAACCTAAGAGTTGTTTCTCGACGGCGCGATATTAGCCGGATTTGATGCCTCGGCCCGTGCTGCATGTGGAATTAGTTGCCGCATTGCACCACCACCACCCCCTGCACTCTCGTGAGGGCGTGGCAACATTTATATACCATGTGTAATTAGGGAAGTGCCTGCCTTTCTATTCCCTCATTTAGACGACTCTTCGGCGCTTATCTGGCAAACTCGAGCGAAACAAAAATCGTTGCAGGAAATTAGCGTTAAATGTCACCCTTGCACTTGTCTAGCATCACACCGCCTGCCACATTTTACCCCTTTAGAGCTACGTGTGTGTATTTTCTTGACTTTCTTTGGCTGTATTATGGCGTTATTTTTATGCCTTAAAGTTTTTAATGTTCATTTTGTCCGTCTACTTGAATAGGCATTTTGGCACGGGCAATGGGTATGGATTTGTGGATTGTTGGCCATCTACGTTGGGAAGGGGACGTATTCTCAGCTTGACAATACAGACGAAAGTCTCTTCGAAATGATTGGAAAACTAATAGAAACAGGAAAGAACTGTAAAGTGGAATGCCTCGACTACTAGATTTGATGCCTTTAGTTGTGATCCTAAATAAAACAAGAAATAATGCTATAGTCGAGTGCCCCGACTATCAGATACCCGTTGCACAGCTAGTGGAAGTGCAAACGAAAAATTTCAACATTTTCTGGAATATCGATATAAACTGGGGAAAAATAAAAAAATCTCTGGAAGCTGCATGCTTACATGTTCTGCCTGTTGAATACTTTTCAACGAATCTAGTATACCCTTTTACTCTACCAGTAACGGGTATAACAAAAGTGAGCGCCATAGTCGAATTTCAAAATTCCTTTTATTATCAGTAAAATCAAACACAAAACAAATGTGGACATGACATTTTTGTCGGTTTGTTGGTGCTAGATTGAGCTCCGAGTTATTCTATCTACGTTCTACCCTACCATTTTTCGTACAACGATTATGGTATACATTCTACAGTAAAGTCGTCCATTTTGCACGCTAGTGTCGTCATGGCGGTACTATAAGTACGGATAAGAAGCGTATCTGTGAGCATTATGTAACGTAAATGTATGGTTGATTCCTAGATTGGACCTGGCCCTCGATGTTCACTTTTAATTCCCACATGACTCGTTAGACCAAGACTCAGTTAGAATAAGAAAGAAATGCTAAAAAATGCGACAGCGTCAGAATGAGCCAGCTCCCAGCACTTGCCAATGGCCATCAGCAACAAACTGGAATCCACAGTGAGGTGGGTGATTGTGACTGAGACTGAGACTGAGACATCAGACCGAGGACTCGAACAACACGTTCCAGTGCCAGCCGACCGCAAACCGAACAATGTCCGACTCAATTTCGCAGATTCATAAAAATGAATGAATGCAATGTTGCAGCAGAATCCGTAAATCCTCCAATGGAGCGGGCTGGCGTCATTGGAAATGGAAAATCAAGTTTGTAAAATTGACTCTCCACTGATGGAGCTTGGGGAGAGCACGGGACGTGGGAGGTAGCGGTCGGGATCACTGGAGGACGACGGCGACCATTAAAATGAATTGCACTGCACTTTGTGCCATCAACAGAATCAACTGCCGGCAAACGAATGATGCACCATAGAAGTGATGTAAAATACAAAAATAAACCGAACGGAAAAAGGAGGACGAACCATCTGAAGAAAAGAAATGCGCACACTGAGGAAGGGGGAAGGCGAGAAACCGAATCCGAATCCGACTCCGACTCCAAATCCAAATCCGAATCCGAGTTCGACTCGCAGAGGCAGCCAACAGAACATTGCACGCTATTTCAATAAAAGTGAATTGCCCGACGCGGCGATGGCGATGGCGATGGCGACGACGTCGTCAGCGGACGCCTCAAACTTCAGCCGCCGCCTCCTGGAGGACCAGCCCAACTCGGCACTGGAGAAAGAATTCGCAAAGGATATCAATCGGCGATGGAAACGTGACACGAGGAGGAATTGTGTCTCTTGCTTGTCCTTGCACGGACACAGGTGCATATTTTGAAAATAGTGTAACAGCTTTCGACTGCTCGAATTTGAAAATCTTTGGGCAATTAGCAAGTAATCCAAGTTGGATTCGGGAGTATTTATTAATTTATTAAGTTAAATTTTAGTACTTTATTATCTGAATTTTGTGTTTTGTGTGAAAAAAATGTGCTTATGTATGTAAAAGAGAGAAGCAACTTGGGAAATTGAAAATCGACGGCATTGTCAGTCTATTCTGAATTACAATATCCCATCCTTAGGAATTTTATCTCCAAGAGTTAGCAGCTAAAAGAAGCCAACGTAAAAGTTGAGTTAGCTGCAGTCTGAAATTCCGGAAGCGTGTATAGCGCTTGACATGACTGACGATGTTGTCGTCCTTCCTGTCCCCGTGGCCACCCTTCGCACTCGGTACTGAGGCGTACTGAAAGTTACAGAGCTCAGAGACTCCACTCCGCGACCGGCAGCTTTGCTGGCCACTTGGTCTCGTTAGTCGTAAAAGCAAAGTATCTACATCAAGCGAGCACAACAATAACTTCAAATGAGCATTATAATAAATTTTTCAAATAATCGCTTGAAAAGTGGAAAATTCTCAACCCCAGTGGAGATGTTGGTCTCCTGTTTCCATCTTGGTCCCGAATGCACTTCAACTTAATGTTTGCTTAAAGAATTAGTTGGCAAAGCTGAAGTGAACAACTTTGAAAGTTATGAGTAGTTATGAAGAGCAGCGGAATTCGACGATGCGATTAAGATCTGGCAGTGCTAATAGCTTTCTTTGAGATCCCATTACGGGAGGGACTAAAATCTGTACCCACATAAGCAAAACCTCTGGTGTAAGGGATGAATCCATGGATGAACGTTTGATGGGAGTAAGGGGTATCTGATAGTCGTTGAGGAATTCAAGCACCGTCAAGCTTTTTACTTTTTTTTAACAAATTAACAAATCCAAACTTAGTTATTCAAATGAGACGGTAGATGCAGCCACTCCAATAATGTTGTTTGTGCGCCCTAAGGGGATGAGTTCGGAATTACAACCGACCACAAATGTTGTTCCTTCCGCTTCCTATTTCCTTACCCTACAAATTATTTATTTCTTGGAGTGGGGATATTGCACTTTTTGGTGGAATAGCCGCAAGCTTGATTTGTAAGCGCAGTGCATACCATGTGGCTGCTGTCCACGCGTGGGGGTGTCCTCGCGCGTTTTGGCCGGAATTCCCAGCACTTAATGAGTTATATTTTGTTGTATTATTTCGGATACTGGCTCTCACATACTGCAGCAAGGAATTTTTAATTAATGCAACGCAACCCATTCGCATTTTCTAACGGCACTGTTCTCGGTTTCATATAGTTTATTTATGACTTTTTTTAATGCAAACTATTTGGGCGGGTTTGGGGTAAGTACTGAAATTTGTGACATTTCCATAAGACCAGCTATTCCGTAGCAGCTTGTCACAAGCCTGAGGCGCTTACGAATTTCTAATTAGCGGTCTCTGTCCGGGTTTCCAAATTGCAGAAAAAGGCCAAGAAAGTGGCGAGGAGTTGTAGTACTTTAAAATGAAGCTACTTAATTGAACATTATATTGTACTACTCACTTTTTGGCCAGTATTTTTCCACATGTCCCACACTGATATTTTGGATTTGTTTGTTCAACTTTTTTTTTTGCAAATTGTTTCTTGTCCTGATCACCTGCTTTGGCATGCTTCGTGATTATGTGGTTCTTGAGGTTGTGTCTTCTGGCAAATTTCTGAAGGCACTCCGCGCATTCAAAAATTTTTTCGTTGGTGTGGTTCCTTAGGTGAGCCCTAAGGGAGTGCTTTTTGAAGTTCTTCGGGCACAAGGGGCACTGCAGAAGTTCGTTTTTCCCAATTCCGGAAGACCGTGTGTGAAAAATGCGGTGATAAACTAGATCGGACTCATACTGAGATTGGAAGCGACACTGATCGCAGGAGTAGACTGCTTTCTTTTGAGCAAGGAATTGATCAGCGGGGGATGAGGTGCTGGCCAGAGGTTGACAGCTGCGTGTGTGTCTTCCGAGTGCCTGAGCAGATTCAAAGCTTGTTCCGCAGCTCAAACACAAATGATTATGCGCTGAATGAGCTTCTGCTTGATGTTGGGTTAGGCTTTGAGGCGACTCAAACGCTTTTCTGCAACTCGCGCATTTCGCGGTTATGTCCCCACTCTTCTTGACGGGTGGACTAGGAGCTGCTTCCTCTAGGACTTCTCTCAGCATGTGTTCAATTTCGTTTTCGGGTTGCAAAATGGGCATTTGAGCTCTGGCCTTTTGCTTATGTTCCATCAAGCTTCTATGACGTCGCGCCTCCAAAGAGGTCTCAAACTCTAATCGGCAGATGGCACAGAAATACCTTGCCAGGAGGTGTGTATGCTTCTTATGACGTTGAAGAGCTAAACGAGATTTCTGTGAGGATCCACACAAATCGCATCGAAACCTACTCTGGTATTCATCGGCTGCAGTCCCCGTAAGAGCAAATCCTGGATGCTCAGAGATAAAGTGTCGACGTAGCTGGACGTTGTATAAGAACTCCATTCCACACCTGGAGCACTGGAGCTGTCTTCTCTGGGCTATACATATGGGAACCGATCTATTGAGCGCTAAGAGCACATCCTTATGAGATGAATCCAGCAAATGAAGCAACATGGCATTATTAGTGTTGGAGTCAAACTGACAAAAGGCACACCAAAAAGTTCCCCCCAGTCTCTTTGTCAGCTCCAAGTGCTCGTGGGACTGCCAATGATGAAGAAAGGTTTCCTCAGTGTTGGCATAGAATCTACAGGGCATGCACTGAAAAGGAGATTGCCTCACTATGCTTCCCATATGCTTAAGTATTTCCTGCAGGCAGTTTTGCCTTTTGATTCGACTCTGCTGTTGGAGTCTTCTGAAATGGTAATGGGAGATTAAATGCTTGCCCATTAAATGTCTTGCCATCGTGTGTCGGCATAGATCGCATCGCAGAAGATGTGCTCTCCTCTGCCGTTTTGGTGGCTTTGCTTCTTTTTTGTCCTCTTCGCCTTTTATTAAGAAGTCCTTGCTCAGGGTAAGTTCCCTGCCCAGAGTAGCCTGCTCCAACTCGCACTCTGCTTCAGCTCTCTTGATGTGGTAGGCACTCTTCAAATGTTGGTCATAGTACAAGCGACTTTTCAGTCGCCTGCAGCAGATGTTGCACCAATAACTCACTCCCGGCTGGTTCAGCTTAGTAAGATCTATATTTTCGCGGTACTCCAACTGTTTGCTACCCGGAACCCATTTGCCTTTAGTGTGGTCCGCTGGAGGGTGGGTGTAGTTCTCCTCAGGGGGCTCATCCCAACTGGGCGAGAGGCGTTCTATATGTGGATGTCGTAGCTGCGGCCGCTGCTCCGGTTTCCACTTGCCACCTGTGTGACTGGCGGGCACAATGGGCGGCGAGTGACGCCTGACATCGTACTCTTCCTGATCTTCTTCTGCATCAAATTCCTCGTGCTCATCCTCATCCTCTTCCTCTTCACTCGCTTCTGGTGACTCATGGTCAAAGTGAAGCGGCTTGAACACCGTCTCATCGTGCTCCCTCACTGCTTTCAGCAAGGGATCGCCAGCTGGCGCGGACCAGGTCTCTTCTTTGCCTCGTTCTTGACGGGCCACCGATCCTATTTTTCCACCCGTGGCGACACTCTGCAGTTGTAGGGACGAAAAGAAGAGATCGGCTCCCAGTTCGTACGGAACATCATAAGCTTCCGTCAAGGACTTTGAGGTCTTTCCTCCATGACTGGCGGCTGTCTTGCGGAGGTAACTACTTGGGGCCTCCGGTTCCGCGAACTGGAAGCCATCATATGTGTGATCCAAATTGTTGCTACTGATAATCGTCGGCGACACTTGAGGGCCAGAGGAGGTTCTTGCTCGTCCATCGGGTTTTGGCGAAACATTTTGCTTTTCTGTAATAACGCAGTTCTGTTTTCGATGCTCGATGTATTTTGTGAGTCCAAGCATGGTGGCATTGCACCTAATGCACAGATGAGTGTCCTCTAAATGGTCGGCGTTCATGGTTACCTGAGAAAGGAAAAGCAAAATTTAGATTACAAAATCTGCACACCTAGAAAATAAACAATGGTAGATCTTCAGTTAGCGTCTTAAAATGAAGTAAGCTAAACTATAATATCAAATGTGTTATGGCAGTGATTTTTTGCTCCACCATTTGTGCATTATCGGATATTATTTTCATAGGATTGCACTTTGAAAGGTTCGAACTCAGAACGCGTAGGCTTTTTTATGCTTTTCTGTTTCTGCGGTACGTACCTTACGAGTTCGCCTTATGGTTTTGAAATACGAACAACAATAATCTAGAATACGCCGCAAATCTAATGCGTTTTTAAGCCCGGCTTTGCCCAATATCTAATCATTTTGCAGGTATCCAGGTCACTAAGCTTTCTGGCCAATTCCTCTTCAAGGGAGCATTAAATGAACTCACAGTATTTTCAGTCCGCTTTGCCATTGGCTCGAGACTCGCTCCTGACCCCTCAGACCCGCGTCACAACTACAGTCGTGGCCACCGCAGCGTTGACATAGCCGTGTCTGTAACTCACGTCCTGTACTCCGCGCTCCACGCTCCACGCTCCACGCTCCACGTTACGTATCCGACAGTTGTCCGCCTGTCCTGTGTGTTGCGGCTTGTCAGAAACGAAGTTTATGGCGTCTGTGCTGCATCCGTGTAAGCGCTCTGCTGCTGCTGCTGCTGCTGCCGCCCCGCAGCTGTCTCCCTCCTCGAGTCCTGCTGCCCCTTTCCGGCCCTTCAGAGATGCTAAATGTAAAAGTGTCATTTCCGCCACATGTGAACGCGATGAACGATGCGTCGAAGTCGACGTTGACGCCAGAAACTCCGATGTTGCTGCTGGGCTGCCGGGCTGCCGCTTTGTTGTCGTCTCGGTTGTTAATAATTTTAGCGCACAATTGCAGCGACACCAATCGCTGGCAGCAGTTGGCGTGGAATTCACCCAAACGAGGCCCATGTCTGAGGTTAAATACGAAAAACATAACAATTCCGACGCATAACCTCGTTCCACTGCCGTTTCTGCGCCCGGGCGATATGGATCCATGTGGGAATGCGGGACATGCGATAGGGCTTATATGGGGGGTGGGCCCTGCCGAACATCCGCGATTGTCGCCCTCATCCGTCTAACAAGAAAGGGCCATATTGGCCAAACCACCACCCACATGATGGCTCTGTGAGTGATAAACGAACATTTGCTTAACAATTAACATGCTGGCAGTAGCACATGAGGCGCCTAAAAATATGGCCTATGTTGCTCCAACAGCCGTGGCAATTTTATAGCGTTAATTATTTGAAGGTGTGGTTCCCGGAAATTCCTAGCTGCAGATATTCGGTTGTTAATCGTGCGTTAAGAAGCATTTTGTGTTTAAATTGAGTGCTTTTAGCGGAGACTTGGTTGGACTCTCTGAGCCAAACTGATAATGGTGCTAGTTGCCACGGCTATATTAAGGAATTAAATCATAAAGGCAGCTTCAGTGCTGAATAGCAACATTTTCCCATTATTTGCATTTGTGACTACGTACGACATGGACGTCGCCAATTCGAGCCCCAGCCCTAACCCCAACCCAAGCCCAAGCCCAAACCCAAGCCCAAACCGAACCAGATCCAAGCGAATCCGCGCCAGAACCATCGCCAGCCTCTGCGTCATCAACAACAATAAAAGCAATGGGGCAATAGCGAAACAACAAATAACATGACAATATTGTTGCTGTTGTTACACTAATGCTGTTGTTGTTCGAGGACATCATCGGCAAACACTGCACAACACAGTTGAGGAAGGAAACCGTACGCTGGGATGCCAATGGGAGACACGAGGGATCCTCGTGGTTGTTTGATTCGAAAATTGAGTTTAAGCGGGACAAATAAAAATAAGAATGAAAATAGAATAGAAATGGAAAAGAACATAGAACGTAGAGCGTAGAGCGTAGAACAACGGCAACAAGCCAGTCAGGCAAAGCGCAACCATTAAAAAGGAGTTATCACCCAATTTGGTACCACAAGCGCGAAATAGGGGGGCAAATGGCTGTTTGAATGTACAAGCCGTCGACGTCAGTTGGAACAGGAAAAATGTAGACATACTGTACAACAGCATTTGCTGTCAAATCCAAACAGTCTGCACGTAAGTGGACAGTTGGGCCAAGTGGACTTGATAGGACGTTCCTTTTAAGTGGATAACAAAGTATTTAATTAAAAGTATGGGTATTGGCGCGATTTGTGGTGCTGTATTAAAAATGTGCACTTCAAAAACGAGGCTTTGTAATCGCTGTCCGCCACAAAGGATAATATATGTCTTTTAAAAAGGTTAAAATTCAGGTTTAAGCACCCCAAAACCGAGTGTATATTGGAAGAATGGCAAATATTATTTGGAAAACCAATAAGTATAGTATAATCGGGGGTTAACATCCTACACAGGAAATCGTTTGCTCCTTGGGGAAAATGAACACCTTTGTTAATTTGTATAACTCAAATGTATAAACGCTTGCAAATAAAAGTTCACGGTCCTTACTCCAAGTGATTCTCTTTGGCGTCACTTACCTGAAGTCTAAAAATAAACCAAAAACGAAAACAGGTCAAAAATACTTAATTTGATGGAGCTTAAGTGGAGTGTCATAAATATATCGATTTAATGGTACAAACTGCAAAAATTCATTGCCATGAAGGCAACCTGGCAGCTTGACAAACGTCATCAAAAAATTTTACGACCACTCTTTCATGAACGGACCAAATAAAAAAATTATATGCCACATAAGCCTGATGACCGTCCAGCGAATCGCTATGCACTCAACAGGTACCTCCTGACCAACCCAGATTCACGATACCTGGGTCCAGATCCCGAGTCTTCATGAGTGGCATCTGCCGGTATGTCGCATCTCTTTGCCAACGACTGTAAAACAGCGAGGGGGAAATTCAATTGGAAATTAAAAATGCCTGGCAGCTGATGGGCAGAAATACGGAGATGCAAATAATAATAAATTCGGTGTCATAAATTATGGCACATCGTAAACGAGAATATGCTAATCGATTGCATTAATCCGTTAATGACGGTAATTAGTTCTTTGTTTCGGTCGTAGAAGTATACTTGGCTTTTTTTTATATGTTATAGGAATATTTCAGAAAGAAGGAAACCCAAGTATTAAAATTACTAAATTCTTTTGTTTTTATAATAGAATACAAACAAACTCCGATAAATATACTTGGGTAGACCCCGAAAATATGTAAATTAATAAACAAGATATAGTGCTATAGTCGAGCTCCCCGACTATCAGATACCCGTTACTCAGCTAGTGCAATTTCGAACGGGAAATTTCATAAAATTTCAAAAAGTTAAAAAATGAAAAATATTTAAATTCTGTTCAATAGTGTGGGCGTGACAGTTTTGGGCGGTAAACGATTTTTGGAAAATCGATGGAAATACACAAGACTAATAAAGAAATTAAAAAATAGGCAAACATTTTTCAAAGGTGTAGGCGTTAGAGTAGGCGTGGCAACATTTGAACACACTTGAGCTGCATGCTTAATCTCAACATTCTAGCTTTTGTAGTTCCTGAGATCGAGGCGTTCATACGGACAGACGGACGGACAGACGGACATGGCCAGATCGACTTGGCTTTTGATCCTGATCAAGAATATATATACTTATAGGGTCGGAAACGTTTCTTTCTGCCTGTTACGTACTTTCAAACGAATCAGTATACCCTTTTAGTCTACGAGTAACGGGTATAATAATTATCCTGATAGACCGTATCGCAATCTATCCTCGAGCCATTAGCATACAATATAATGTCAGGACCAGACAAACCACGAAATCGAACCGAACGTACGAATGGAATTAAGTGCAAATCGTTAACAATAATTTAGCGGGGGGATCAGACTAGTTTGCATTTATGGCAAAAACGATCGTACATTTAAACGGGCATATTTCACGCCGCTCGTTCGATCTGTGCGCACCAGCAACTCTGATCTCTGCCCACGACGAATTCATAAAGTATCTTACGCTTTTAATGGTTTCTGAGTTACAAGCTGACCGAGTGGGATCTTTAAGGCTGATTTCCCTGCGTCTCGCAGCAGGTACAATGCAACAATTTGGCGGCAACTTATGACAGAACACCCGTCGCAAATAAACTCAAATCGCACCACAGAGGCCTTCGTACGCATTTAAATTATGAATATTACCAAATGGGTCAATTCGAAATAAATATGCAGTGGTCTTGGCGATCCCTAGTCTCTCGAGCGCACCTCTTCGAATTGGCCAAATAGAGTTGTCTCTGACGCAATTTCTCATGGAGCTGGCCAACACTTATCCGCGCTCCCTTTCTGGCCATGATCCCCGTCTACTTTGTCTTGCAATGGGTCGGCTTCGTCGGTTATATCGCGCATGCATCTGATAATCTATGCGCAATTAGCGGTGTACATCAGATTTAGAGTTCTGATTGCTTTTGCCTTTTCTTTATCTGCCTGTGAGTCCGACCGATTATTGGCCGTAAATATGATATGAAATTTGCTATTATTCTCTTCCTTAATCTGTCGGAGTGGCTCATCAGCTGAATGTTTGTAAGACACTCAGAATATGCAATATAATTCACAGGCAAGGCGGTGAACTTGTGAGGGTTGTATTTATTTCATGGACACTCGCCATATTTGTTATCGCTGTGGACTTTAGATCATGGAATTATCACAAGAATACTAAATAATACTACTACTACAAAATAAAGTTATAGCTTCGTTCTACTTGTTTTATACCGTTAAGTGTGGAGTAAAAGAAAAGTCTATCCGTCGGCATATCGGGCACTAATAACTAATATATTTTTCATCGGGATGCCAAGTCCGTCTTTCCGTCCGTTTGTCTGTCCGTCCGTATGAACGTCGAGACCTCAGGAATTATGAAAGCTAGAAAGTTGAGGAAAGCTAGAAAGTAGGTATGCAGATTTCAGAGACATAGACGCCGCGGAAGTTTGTTTAATGATGTATCACGCCCACTCTACCGCCCAAGAAATGCCACGCCTACTCCTTTGAGAAATGTGGTATTTTTTCATTTTTTATTAGTGTTGTAAATTTTCATCGATTTGCCAAAAATCGTTTTGCCACGCACACTCTAGCGCCCACAAACCGTCAAAAACTGTCACGCCCACACTTTTGAAACAAATTTTAAAATTGTTTTTTTTTTCGTTTTTTAATTGTTATTCCAGATAATCGACATTCCAGAAAATTTTACAATTTCTCGTTCGCACTTCACCTTGCCGAGTAACGGATATTCGATAGTCGGGGACCTCGATTATAGCATTTTCTGTCGTTTTCTTGTGGTTTTCCATTACTTAAAAATCCCCAAGTTCTTGTGATGATCTCTTCCAGAAGCGCCCACCATAAAGACTCAATTCAAATAATAATATATCCATCACTTAAAGGGACGTTAGTCCCACTAAATGCATCCGGCTATGCATAGGGCTTTAAGTGCTCGATTTCTGAAGCTGAGGTTTCGGCTGTAGATCGCCACATGAAACCATGACTGTTCCGTGGGCGTAGCAGATAAATCCTTGTTAAGTGGCTCCCGTTAATGCAGCGCGCTTCCGTTTTTTTGTTTTTGACGCGTGGGTTCATTTTCAACTTGAAACTGATGATATCATTAGGAGGTTTTGTTTTTCAGTAGCATAACTGGCAGAGTGTGATATTTTTGACTTCAACTACGTTTTTGTTTGCAATGTGCTATGTCGTCCTATTGTCAGTTGTCAACAAATTCTCGATGATGATGTCCATTAAACTTCGCCGGGGGCAATCAACCAAGCAGGGCAAACCACAAGGGAAAACCTAACAAAAACGGGTTTCATTTTTAATTAAATGCTGTGTTTCGCCAACTTGGTACGCGTACAGTGTTCATAAAATTAAATTTTATGTTTTGGCAGTCATCTTTGAACGAACATTTGAAATAGTTAAGTCAATTAAAGCTCAAGTGACCCGCTGGCTTTTAGTAAGAAAATCACTTAAGCGCGTTTGCCGAATTTACGACTATATGGCGTTTGGATGAGTGGGTGGGGATCGTAATCGTTTTTATGACCTGGCAGCTCTTAGTAACCTGTAAATATGATTTAAAGACGTAAGAATCAGGAATGCCACTATTTGTATACCCTTGCTGAGCGTATATTGATTTCAGTCAGAAGATTACAACGCACTGACATTTGCGAGCCGTTCTTACGCAAACAAGTCCACTCCGTTTTAAAACTATCTGCATAAAACTTTCCCGTGCCCAAAACTGTCAAAAGGTAAAATGTTGAGGGCATGCGGCTTCAATAGACATAGACGCAGCGAAAGTTTGTTTCTAAATGTTGCCACGCCCAATCTAACGCCCACAAACCGCCCAAAACTGTTACGCTCACACTTTTGAAAAATGTTTAATTTTTAGCTGAAGAACGGGTATCTGATAGTCGGGGAACTCGACAATGGTATTTTCTCTTGTTGATTTTAAAGCGTATTCGAACAACAGTAGAAACATTATGAAAATAATTTAAAAATAATATAAAAGAAATAACTTGGTTATTTTAGATCATAAATAAGTTTTTATTCGGAATATATAATTTTTTCAAATAAATAAATATTGCAAGGATAAATAGGTTTCAGCTTGCTGAAGCTAGTGTTCCTCTTTAATACTATATAACATAAGTATTAAGTATTAACATAAGGAGTCAGTATAGTTAGGAAGCAATGACTTTGAAAAAAAGTTGCTAACAACATTGACCGAATTTTAACTTAAAGACTTCGCTTGACTTTTTTCGTTTTTTTGAATAGGACTGGTTTTTTGATAGCCAAAATAAAACTTTTGGCAAGTTTTAGTGAATAAAAGTTCTCAAGTTTCCCATTCCAGAATGTGAACACTTTATAGCGCTGAAAATGCTTCCACTTACATGTTAACTCTAAAAAGGAGTTTTGCGTACTCAACAATCCAGACCACATATTATGAATGTATATCTCTGTTTACGTTAGCCTTTTGCATATGTTAATAAGACATTCATCGCAAGTCAAATACAGAACAACGTGGCAAGGTGTGCGATATTGGCCAAAGGGTCCGTAAATCAGAGCCAAAGAAGCATTTTAAAGAATCTATAAATATGTGTTTAATTGACGCCGGCTGCACATAAAATAGGAATTAAGAAAGCGTTAAATCTTTTGGAGACTCAGCACCACAAACACAACCAGGCTGATAAGGTACTGACCCGGGAGGAGCGGGGTATGGGTGCCATCATAAAAAGCATAATTACGGGCATTTGTGCTAATGTGACTCTCTGGCCGCAGGCGTTGGCAGAACACTTCTTATCACGACGGTAGGTTGTGATTTGAGGAAGGACGTGGCGGTTTGGGAAGGGAATAATGTTCGCTGATGCTAGACGCCGCCACAAGGCTGAGCTCTCGCATAAATCACTCATTATGAGGCGTAATTAATGCGACTATATGGCGACCTTAATTTTGTATAAATCATCAGATTAAAACCAATGCCTAGCATTCATGGTTTCTGTAAGGAACAGATGTTGGGAAATTCTCTGTATCGGCAAATTGAATGAGCTTCGCCCATGTTTGCCCAGATGGGCTAATGATGTCATTCCAAGGAATCGGATAATGTTAATGGGGGAAATAAGACGGAAGGAAAAGGAGTTAGGACCAAACCAAAGCCGAAAAAACACTTTTCGATTTTAGTGCTTTAACAAATGCGTGGGAATACAAAATTGCATTATCATTTTAATTTGATCATCCGCCGTTAATAATAATTTAATTAAAAAATATATTCTGCAAAATTGGCTAAAGAACAGAGTGGTATTTCATAATTTCTTTTATTCAACCATTTTCATAAATATATTATATATAACATTTGTTTTAACTATTTACTTTCTTCCCCTTAGGGGCTGCTATGTTCATCGGCCTTCTACTTCCTACATGTTCGATAGAAAAGCATCGACAATTCCCAAGCAGCAGAGCCGTTCTTGAATTTGAGATACAAATATCCCTAATAGAAGACGAACGGTCTCGGATTTTAGATTGTGGAAGAGGGGCGTTAGCGATAAATTTGAGCAAAATCGTTTGTTGTTTTTGCTTATAAAGTGTTGCAGCTTGATATATACAGCTTGATATGTGGAGTGTGCTTGCTTCGTAGTGCAAGCTTGCTTTTAAGTTTTTCTTAAACATTCTGAAGATTGAAATTAAGCATGCAGATTCTAAAAGGGCCCGAATATGTCAAGTTCGTCACGCCCACTCTAAGGCCCACAAATCGCCCAAAAGCCACGCACACAATTAGTTTTTAACGAATAGGGTGAACAAAAAATGTAATGCATACGAAATGAAATGCAGCGAAAAGCAAAAAATACTTGTTTTTAAATATTTTAAAATCCAGTCGGTTGCTGAGCACTGGTACTAACTTTCGATGGGATAGTGTTTTAAAACACTACGGACCAACTAGTTGACTCTCTTATTTAAGTAATAGAGAAGTTATATCTATTGAAGGTATTTTTAGCAAAAATGAATGCTGACACGGAATTGCTGAATATAATTTCCTTGTTAAATTTCTTATTAGGTTACAATTAGGAAATATTTATGGCCCTTTAAAATAGTGTTGTAAAATTCTCCGTCGTTAGCGTTGCCAATGTTGAAAAATAATGTTTTTGTTTAACTGGTCATTAATAAAAATAAATTATTTTCTTCCGACAGATTTAACAAAATAGATTTATATAAAATAGACAGATTTAATAATAAGCTCAAAGAATATTTCTCGTTTTTAAAACGCCTTCGACTGCTTGTTAACAACATTCGTTCTCAAATTCAAATTTCGGTACTGAATTATTCGTCTTAAACTTTAATTTAATTGCTAAAAGACCATTTCTAAGAATGATAGAAAAATATATAGTTTTTCTACAACTGACGGAAAAAGTGAAAGAGCGTTCGATATTAATCGTACATTCTTAAAAACAAAAATTGTATTAATTTAAAATGTTTAATTCTGTGTAAAAACAGTTTATATAGAAAACCGATAGTTCTTCAAAATCTGCCCAGCACTATCGGCCGTCTTTCAATTTTTTGGCTGGCTATATAACAGAAAATTGGAAAATCGCTATATAGTGTCCTTGGGCCACATATCATCACGAAAACTGTGCCACAACCGCATTCTGTACATTCAATTCAAGGATCTAGTTCAGTGTCATTATGAATCGCAGGCCCTTATCACCTTTGTTCTTATAACCAAGGCATTTGCAAGGTTAATGACAACTGATATGCGTGTTCAGCACCCAACAAAAGTGCAGATTAGGATTTGGGTAGATATTGCAGCCGAAATCATATAGAAACGTATGACATTTAATCATATACCAATGTTGAAGTGTTCCATTACTATAACAAATTAGGATCTCCGCATTTCTCGCAGATGCTCTGCAAATTTTAATTCTAGAATCTGCGAGCTTTTGCCGCAGAGTGCAGTAGTGATATCTGTTTCACAAAAGCTGGAATAGTTGGATCAACCGAATGAGATCAAAAGAGGGGGAAGGGAAGGGATTTCGGAAGCCCTAAGAGCAAGTGATTTTGAATTAAGCTTGCAGAGTCCACTGACAAATGGACAAATGTATTCTGAACTTTGACCACGCAGACTTTAACGAGTAATAATTTATTCAAACGAGGTAAGTGGTGGCTTAAGGACAAAAGCAATACATGTCAATCAAGTAGTTTCTAATGCAATGCGAAACATTTCTATGGATATTAAGGCGGGTTATAGGGCCGTCGACTGCTAGCTTATATCCCGTATACCTAACGATTCCTTCGAACTGACCCTCGCCAGGAGTGGCTAACAGTCGAAGCCTAAACTCCGACTGATGCTCATCTGCGATGCGTCTCCACTTGTCGGCAGTCAAAACCTGATCCAGGTACAAAGTCTTGCAAGGCGGAGTATGTGAGCGGATCATCTTATTGACGTTTCGAATAATGAGGCGTGCGGCCCGCAGAACATAGCCATTTGAAGTTGGAACATTTGTAGGCTGCTGACACAGACAGTAAGCGGTGGGTATGGCGGCCAAGAAACAGTCTCTATGGTCCGGAATAGGCAAGAAAAGGCTTATTCCTCGCGGAATGTCTTTGCCCATTGCCCATAACTCTAGTCTGCGCTGCTGCAGTTGCTGATCCTCCAGGTAGGTCAGATGGGGAAAGTTCAGAAGAGTGGCGTGTAAATCGAAGGCGGTGACCAGGCGACGGTTGTTACTCTTCAAGTTGCTTAGGGCCTGCGGATATCGTTCTTCCAGCCACCTGGGGTAGCAAAGCATGGCCAGGGGCCGACTCTCCTCCACCTTGCCCTGCACGGTTTTGTAAAATCGCCCCTTATTTAGCCCGTGGTTGGAAACCACCAAGAGCATCGTGTGCTCAAGGATGCCATTCTGTGCTAAGGCTTTGAACATTTTCAGGAACGGTTGGTCCAGCTTCCGGGCGTAGTTAAACAGGTGATCGATGCCCTGGGTCCACCACAGGAACGTAAAGAACCTGTGCGCCTTATGATGGGGAAGCATTTTGAATAGGAACTCCCTAAGCACCATTGCGTAATTGTCCTCCTCGTTGCAGTGGGTGCCAAATAATCCGTCCGTTCTCGTTTTCAGCCACATCTCAAGAAGAGCAGGCCGGAGGTAAAAGTCCGTTGGTGGCTTGCGAAACCCCTTCCCAAACAGAGTCTTGTCTATGTTGTCCTCGCCCAGGCCCGTTTCATAGCCGGCCTTTTGGAAAACCTTCCAGATAAAAGGACAGCTGTCCAGGCTGCTGAGGTTCGACGAAAGGTCCTTCATTTCTTGCCCACTCAAGCCGCTAAGCAACGGCATCAGACTATCAAAGCTGTCATCACCCAGCCGATGGAACCCCTTAAGTTCCACGTGCGGAAGGGATAGCAGAAAGTTGGCTGTGCGAGCCATGCTTCTGTGGAAATGCATTTGGGAAATGGAATCTAGGCCCACGATCAACACAGACAAGCTGCCGACGTCGGAAGCCAACTTTCGAGGAGGAAGACCCCGGGTGTTGCGCAGCCATTCGTCAGTTGGATGAACGTAGAAATGAACGCCGTTGTAGATGCTCGTGGCGTTGATAAAGCACTCAGCCCTTATGATATCCGCATGTGGTTCGATTGTATTATTACCATCCGCGAGCAACGCGAATTCCCGACTATACAAGTGGCGATTGTCGAAATCGGTGTTTCGCTCCATTGCATAATACATGCACTTGAAACTTTCCAAAGTCTCGACTCCGTACCTCGCTCTAGCAAGCACTATATTCACTTTCGTCCTCAGGTAGTTGTGTTCGCAATTGCTGAAGGATGACAAGTTCAGATTGCTGGCGCAAAAGTCTCTACGAAGGCCGCCCCACAGGAACATCACGTCGTATTCATTTTGAGCCATAGTCAGCATACGACAGCCCCTGGTGTCCACAGAGTATTTCTCCACAAGATGCTGCTCCTCGAAGACTAGGTAGTCGACCACCACATCGTTATAGTAGTAAACGAAGGAGAAGATAATCAAGCTATACAAGAAGCAGCAACGTATACGGCAGGGGCACATTTCGCTTATTTCTATCGACAGGACATCAAACTATTGGATACTATATTAATCTGATGGACAAAGAAAAATAACACCAAAAGCACATTTATGTCGGAGTTGCCATAATTTTTTATGTGAAGCGAAATTTTGGGGGAATATTTTTCGAGCTAACAAAATTAAAAATCCTACGTGACCTAAGTGATTCTGTCCAAAACGTCATTAATTTTTAAAGTATATCTCTTCTTTTAGGGCGATATTAATTGGAGCTATAAAGAATATTCTTGATTACGATCACTAGCCGAGTCGATTGGACCATGCCCGTCTCTCAGTCAGTATCTGTATCTGGATCTGAAAGCTAGAAAGTTGACATTAGGCATGCAGATTCCAGAGACGCAAGTTTGAGTCACAATGAGGTTATGTCAGGCTTAGGGACAAAAGTAAATGTGTTGAAATTTCTTAATTTTATTATTTGTCTTTTATATTTCTATCAATATGCAAAATAAAAAAGATAGGCCACGCCTCTCTTGTTTTTTTCCTATTTTCTACCAGCTTGAGTAACGGGTATCTGATAGTCGGAACTGGACTATAGCGCTTTTTCTGGTTTAATCTACATTTAACGTATGTATTATATAGAAATATCATTTTGAGCAAACGCGAACTTATATTGCAATATATACATAGTTTCTAGGCCCATTTTTGTGAAATATTCCGTTGGCTTGAACAATAGAAACAATAAGTACAGCCATTAATAGAACCTAATACCTTCCTAAGGTTTTATGTCAGAGCTCCTTTTCGTAATTTTTCGCTTCAAGCTGAGCTCCATTTTAGTCACCCGTTCCTATTTCAAAAGAACAATAAACTTAAAAGTCCACTCGTGCAAAAAGCATTCCCATTCGCATTCTAAGTTACAGTCCACTCCAATCTTAGCTATAAGCAAAAAACATTGCTGGCGGATACCGGGGCAGTGGCGTTAATTTATCACTTAACCTTCTTTAACAGCCAAGTTTATAATTTCGATGGCGTCCAGGGCCGACCAAAGCGAGAATGACGATGAAGCTGGCAACTGCGGCACTTCAACGACGACTGCCCATCAGCGAAATTTCGGAGCTGGGTGGTTTTCTCCACTGATTCGGAATACAAAAAACACAACGGGGAGACGTGGAGAGAGGCACTGGGAGAAACAGGATTGCCTGGAGAGCAAAGAAGTTCTGGAGAACATTGAAAGTTTGTGGCCAAGGAATTAGGTATAGCAACCTAGAGAAATTTCATATTTCAGATTTAAAAAAAACACAAAAATTGCGAAAAGGCAGAATATTTAATATCTAATGTGTAAGGATGTAACCAAATAAACATAATATCAAGAGTATTATTTTGTGCCAATTTTTATTACCCCCAATCAAGTGAAGAGACCTAGACACTTACTTTTGTTTTTACTATCACAATAAAGTAATCATATATGTAGATGTATTTATGTCGACTGCAATGGATAATTTACTAGGATTTAATTCGCAGTGTAGTGGGACCAGCTCCAATAAAGTAAAATAACAAACGATTGTCGGGATATATATATTTTTACCATTGTACACTTAGCCGACTGCTTCACCCTGCTTCTGTTTTCCGACCTCTCAACCCGAGCCCGCTTTTCCCTCAGTGACGTCGTCGTATTTCTTTGGCTTACGCATCAGCTCAAAAACCCCACCCCCACCCCTCCAACGTCTCTGCAACACCGCTCCTGGTGTTGTCCTTTTTGTTGATGGTTTACGCTTTAGCCGGTCCTTTTTGGAAAATGAAAAGGCAAAGGGAATATTCATGAGCAGATTAGAATTATTTTTCGTGCTGTCATTTTCATTTTCCTCCAACTTTTTCCTTTTTCATTAGGTTTCATTAGGCTTTAAAATCTGGAAACAACGGGATACATGAATACTGTTGAACTCTATACCCAGAAATGTTAAAAATAAATATTACGATATATTTTAGCTATACATTTAAATATATAATACTATGGACAAAGTTACAAAGTGCACCAGTATTATAATGACCACGAAAATGAAATGAATTAAAATGAAATGAATTAAAAACATACGAGCATATACAATTTCTTCTATACTTCACCAAAGCAGACACTTAAGCCCCAACTTAAGTTTTATACCCATTACTCCAAGAGTAAAAGGGTTGTTGAAAGGACAAGGTTTCTTTTTCTTTCTTTTGACCACTCCTACTGTACCGTCCATGAGCCGCCCTAACCAGTCCCACAATTTTAAAAACACTTAATTGTTTTCATTTTAAGTTTTTGCCAATATCCACCGATATGCCAAACAAATTTCGAAATTTGTCGTCGCGCTGCTAGTAGCAAGAAACGGGTATCCGATAGTCGAGTTAAGTAACCAAATACAGCATGGTCGACAACATGTCGTTGCCTATGGAATATGAGTAATCAACAGATGTCACTTATTATACATATGTACATAAGAGAATACTGAACTTGTTATATTAACTATATTTGTTGCTTAAAATCATAAATAAAATAAATTGTCTTAAATTCCCTTACCATCCTTACTGAGCGCACCCTTTAAAAATGTTTAGATTCTTTTCCTTTTATCATTTATCTCGACAATTTCTATGGGTATACCAATCACATTTTGACCATGTCCACGAATCTCCAAGTAACCACTTTTGAACAAATTGCTGATTTTTATACCCGTTACTCGTAGAGTAAGAGGGTATACTAGATTAGTTGGAAAATATGTAACATATGTATTCTTGATCAGGATCACTAGCTGTATAACGCTTATCTGATAGTCGGGGAACTCGACTACAGCATTCCCTCTTGCCTTTTAAATTTTATGTTTGTTCTTGCCAATTTCTATCGTAATGACAAAAAATTTTGAAATTTTCAAATATGTCGTGTTTATCATGAACGTTGTTTTCTAATGCTCCCGATAAAGTGCCTATCAAGACACTTGCTTAAAACTTGTATGATATAAACACTCGGTCCCCGATGGAAGGCAGACATTGCTTCCTGGAGAGGGAAGCTTGCAATAACAACAGTAGCATTTAAAATATTTTCGCAATGTTATAAAAACGCGTAAAGGGATTTAATAAATAACTGTTACTGCTCCGCCCTCGCCTCCCGATCCCGCTACCCCCTTCCGCTGATGCTCATTTGCCTTTTCCCGCTGTTGTACCGTAATTCAAAATGTTGTTTTTTCGACGCTTTCCATGCAGACTTTTCCTTTTTCTTGTGCATCTGCGTGGGATATGTCTATCCCACTCACGCTCCAGCTCTCCTCTCCCTTTCTCGTTCTGGGTGGAATTATGTTTTATCCTGAATTATGGATTTTGTTTTGTTGTTTTCTGTCAAAATCATATTTTCTTCACCACCAACCACCCCCACACTCCCTTGCTAACCCAAGCCCGACTCATTTACATACAGAAAATTTCGCTGAGAGCAGACTGAGAGAAATTAGGTTGGGGGTCAGCAATATAGATACATACATATATAAATTGGTGTTATGCTAGGCACCAAGATATATGTATTTCGTGAAATTGACTTTCAATTATATGGCAGCTTAAATAATTAAACTTTTATTCGAAATTCGAGAAAACTATTTACAGTTTCTCAGTGTAATAATTTTGGGTTAGCTCAGACCTCAGTTCAGTCTCCATCTACAGGAACCTTCCCTCGCCATTAATGAGAATTTGTTTGTATCGACGTAAGTCGGTGGTCGAAGGGGGTTGAAGGGTGTCGGGGTGGTAGGTGGTGGTCGGCAGGGGATTCCTTTCCTGCTTCGGATTTCCGACGGCCCGACTGCTCAGCTTAGTTGTAAATTTACAACAACAAGCAGTTGGAGCGAAAAGTTTTGCAAATAATTTCTACTTAACGATTAGAATTATTTTCAGCCGGAAATTAGGAATTATGAAAAATTATCACACAGGACAAGAAGGACACTGTGTGGACCTAAAACAGTGGAATGAATCATGAATCTATGCTTTGTTATATACATCTACATATGTACATTCATAGGTCTTCTGATTAGCACGCTTTTGTGTTCTCTGTTCCATGCAACGAATCTAGTGTATGTACCACTTTATTTCAAAGGAGATGTTTTTGATATCAGAAGTTATTGAAGAGATAATTAATACCCATTGTTTTTATGTACATCTCAATACTATAACTAAAAATAGTTCAAATACACTATGTGTCACCAATCATACTTTTTAAAATATAAATATAAACATGACTTTATAAAACTATGTGGTATATATTAAATGTTGGTGAATTTGAAGAGCTATATAGTTGCACATTTAAATCAAGAGATAAGGATTTACTCGATCAGATTCCAGTAACCTGTTACGATAGAGGAAGTGCAAAGGAGAGATTAAAAAAATGTCTGGGCAAATCAATAAAAATTGGCAGTGATAAAATCAAAACGTGGTTTAAAAGTGTAGTCGTGAAAGTTTTAGGCGTTAGGGTGAACGTACAAAAAAAAAATTGCACCATTCTTACTTTCAGCTTTCTGGTTTTTACTGTTTGCCAGGCTGACAAAAACTTTGATCCTTACGTGTCCCCAGGTATCCTTCACACAACGTAATTGGCGAAATCCGAATTGTCTTCTGCAGGATTCCGAAGATTTCGACGATCTCTTCCAGCCAGATCGCGACATTCATACCGACACGGTATGATAATCCTTATCAAGAATATATACATATATACTTAATGGGACCAAATACACTAGAATTATTCCAGTGTCTTTGATAGGACCTTCTTTCTGCTACATTCTTTGCAACGCACCTTTTCCTCTACGAATGACGGGTAGTATTAAAAAATGAGTCTTACATTACAAAGAAAACACATACCATATTTGAAAAGGACATAAAACAGGATAAAAAATGTTATATTCGTCAATTACTTGCCGTTCAATAGAACAAAATCATTAAGTATATTTCAAATGCAATATTTTACTTTTATCCTTGCAAAGGAAATTCGAAAATTTCGAAATTTGTTTTTTATTAACATAACTGGGAATATGAAAATTCAAACATTGTGCTATCAATTTAATACCAATATGTGAAGACGAGTTGTTACCCGCTAAATACTAGTATTTATGTTATTACTATGGCCCAGAACTTAACAGTATTTTGTTAAGCTTTATAAAATAGTTAAAACTGAACAAAATAGG